GAACTCAACACCATCATGCATGGAACAAACTCAGCGTCACCCAGACCTGCAACTAGGAGGAAGGATATTAGGATATCTACCTAATAGCCTTCATTTTAGCTTCTGGCCTTAAGCCCATCAATGTAAGGCATAGCAAGTAAATTAATACAATTCTTTACTTTCCTGGGCAGCAGTGAGACGCGCCTGCAGCAGTGAGCAGCCACACGTACCTTTGCTTCATAAAGGAGAGGTCCATGAAAACAAAGCACTCGTTCACCTGAAAGAAAGTTGCAGATAAGCATCTTAAAATAATCCTCATGTATCATTTCTGCAAAATACACGTTATCAAGTGCAGCACAGAATGAATCCCAGGTCAACCAAGCAAGGAACTCAAAGGCAGAACCTGATCTGAGAAGCAGGCTGGTGTCTGGAACGTCGATTTACTGTCGTACAGGAGGATCAAAGCTGATTACTTGGGCCATGAAGGAAAAGACTCCCGAGGACTTCCCCAAAGAACACTCATGCCAGGACAGCTGCACACAAGTCATATCTGAGCCTGCCCACAGCTCTGCAGAAGGGCTGGTTAACTTCAGCAAATGACTGGCCCCAAGCCCTGTGCTCCTGCCTGCGCTTCTGGCCACCCGCAGTCTACTGGGGATACCCCCATTTTGGGGAATGTACCCCCATTTTTGTACATTCAGTACTTTGCCATAAGTCAGAACTTCTTTATAATCACAGCTAACAACCACAGACTGCAGTACCCGCATCCTTCACACAGTCCATGAGCACTGCTGGAAGCCACACCTCTCCTGCAATCCTTATGCAAGATCTTTCTAGGCAAGATGTCCACATTTACTACGAGCAAGGACACGAACCTCGGTGTTGCAGAAGGGTTACCACGAGCACAGAGGAACGCCAACAGGCTCTTCCTCCTCCTCAGCTTACTGCAGACAGGCACAAGGCTTCTCCTGCACACCTACAGACCGCTTCTCTCCTGCGCTGCAGAGACACCCACACCCATTCATTATCCCAGAGACGGGGTTTGGAAGAGAACAGTTCTTCAGCTAAAATAGCTGGCAGAAGCTAGCTGAAGATGCTCTGTAACACTCAGGAACACCACGCTACGCAGAACATCCCTGCTGCACCAGCGGCTTGCACCCAGGCAAGAGCGGGCAGCTCTCCCGGCCCCGCTGGCGACACCTTCACGTGAGAAGAGCTTGGGGAAGGTGGCATTCAGCTGCCCACTCCTTCAACTGTTCTACATGCAGAGCATTTATAGAAGCAAGAAGTTCCCCTTTCACATCAAAGGGAAGGCTTGTGTCACGGCCCTGACATACAGACTGGTAACCAGCATCTTGAGAACAGACCAAAACCAACGAAATCCCATCAGCACCACCAGGAAGACAAATCTGCCTTAAGCCTCTCCGAACTTGAACTTGACATCTGAGGAAGACTCCCAAGACATTTCCCATTCGCTTTTAAAGAAAGTCAGCAACAAGATTAACACCCGAGATACCAGCAGCCACTAACTCCCACTGGACCAGGCGCTGATCTCCGTTGTGATGCCTACACCAACGCTCAGCCCTTCTGTTTCACAGGGTACTCACACTTCCCAATTGACTTTCAGGCTTTCCCAGCTTTCATGCATTTTCACAACAAATGCAGCCTCCTCCTCGCCCATTGCTTTGTGAAGAGTGCCCGTACAGACAGCTTCTAAGCACACCTATCATTTCTCTTGGGAAATCTACAATTAAAATAATTTCACTTGTCATGCTGTGAATGCCCACAATAAAGCTCTTAAGCCTTAGGCCTGCAGGAAGCTTTATTCATGGGACGTTTCTCCATTTCAGTGCTAATGGTGAGATTACAAACACCTATATTTAGGGAAAAAAGTCCAAATTTGAACACCTGTTATAAATTTAAGCCGCATGTATCCCTACAGCTATGAACCATTTCTGCCTGGAATTCTACCCAACCTTTACCTTCTTCAGGTGAAATGGAATGGGCTGCACTCAGTTATTACATCGTGGATCGCACGTTAAAATCCCGTGTGTTCCTGCAGGTTAACACACTGGTGTCAGCACGTGGCATGGGGTGCCAACACACGACTGACCACGTTCTGCCCCCAGCTGCCCCGATGCACACCCGAGCACTGCACTGAGGGGGGCAGAGCATCCAGCTTCCAGCCCTTCTTCTGCCAGCTGAATTTTTAGAGACAGAGCCACGGCGAGGGACGGGGAAATAAGCTTTCATTTACCTGCATCAGTACCAACCACAGCCACTACCTAATAAATCAAGATGCATGCAAAGTAAGCCCTGCAGGAAGCAAAATCCTATCCGTTATTGTCCTAAAGCACCGAGTGCGTTGATGTTAGCGTGGATCCTGTGATCCCACCCCAAACGCTGCAGGGCCCCAGCACGGCGCCCATCGCCCTCCTTCGTGAGGGTCCCCCCAGGGAGCTCCCCCTCAAGCAGGGCGAGTGATGGGCACGTTTTGATCTTGAGAGGATAAAAGTCTGGCACATGCAGGAGGTTCAAACATTTTTAATGCCCACACCTGCATGAAAATTAAGCGCGCTGTGCGTGACAGGGAGGGGAGAAGGGCAGCCTCAGGCCTGACGGGCAGGATAGGCCGAGAAGAGGAAGAGAGGAGGCCCGGGGGACCCCCAGCCCTTCCAGAACAATCTCCCCGCCTCAGGGGCCGGGGCCGGGCCCTCCCCTCACGCTGCCCGGGGCCCGGTGCTGACAGACGCGGCCCAGACCCAGCGCCCCCCCGAGGGCGAGCAGGCCCCGGGGGCCCAGCCTGCGGGTACCGGAGCCCCCCCGCCCGCTCCCTTTATCCCTTCCTTTCCCTCCCAAGCCCCGAGGCGCCCCCCAGCCCCCCGCTCACCCTCCTGGAACTTGGGCTTGGGGTCCTGCTTGGGCGCCATTGAGGAGCGCCTCCCGCGCCGCCCGCCCCCTCCCCCGGCGGCCTCACCGCCGCCGCCGCCGCATCACGCGCGGCCGGCCCCAGCCCCCGCCGCAGCGCGCATGCGCCTTGCCGCCGCGCCGCAAAGCACGCTGGGGGTTGTAGTCCGCTCCCTCAGGAGCCGAATCCCCCCCCCCCCCCCTTCCATTATGCCCCCCTTTTTTCTCCGCGTCCCCGGCTGGGCGGCTCTGTCCGTGCGGCTGCGGGGGGCTGGGAAGCGGAGCTGCACGAAAAAAAAAAAAAAAAGCGGGGAAAGGCAAAAGATTCAGACGCCCAACGTGGGGCTCGAACCCACGACCCTGGGATTAAGAGTCCCATGCTCTACCGACTGAGCTAGCCGGGCGCTGAGGCACCGCGTGGCCTCCCCGGTACTCGGCAGCGCCGCCCCCGCTGGGGCCTCCACAACCCCGAGTGGGGCCTTCAGGGGGCGGCCGCCCCCCGCCACAGCCCCGGGGCCCGCGGGCACCGAGCCGTGGGGCAGGCGCCCACCCTCGGGGGCTGGGGCCGGAGCTGCCCGCAGCAGCTGCCCCGCGGCCTCCTGCCCTCGCTTCTGCGAGCTTAAAGCTGTGCGTGGGGGCAAACCCCTCGTACTCCAGCAGCCGCGCTCTGTTTGTACACGCAGCCGAATTGTGTGTTTTTCTGTCAAAATGCTTCCTCTGATTATTCGGCCGTATCTCTGTTGTCATATTTTCACGTTATCACTTCAAAAAATAAAAAAGAAAAATGCTAGCCAGGCAGACAGAAGTGGGGCAGCACCAGACGTAAACGTCTGGGAAAGCCACGCGTGGCCTGACAGCACCAGGCAGTCTTCAAACCCTCACGCTGGCTTTTTTTCTGAAGAGATAAGGAAATAAATATTTTGCAATTCCACATACGCTTCCTGTACAGACTGCGCTCGATGCAGTGTGGGGTTGGGAGGGCGGCAGAGCCACATATCCATCCCAGCGCAGCAATGTCAGTGCTGTGGGTCACTGCCCCCTCTCTGGAGATATTTAGCAAGGAGGAGGCAGAAGTGGCCGGATTCTGCTTCCCTTTGGCAAAACCACCGTGAATGCAGTAGCACGGCGCTCACTGGGCACTCAGCGGCCTTGCTGGAAGTTGCCCAGAGCCATTCTAGAGCAATCGGTTTTTAAACGGCAGGGTGCCTTCAAAATTAACCTCGTTCTTCTCCGTTGCTTACAGAAGACACAAAATGCCTGATTTGGATGAATCAGACATGAAAATAACGGCACATCGAGTGCGCTGCACATGGTTTGCAGACCCACACTGTCAAACACTCTGACCTGGGCTTCATCCTATATCAAATACATTTTATTATGTCTTATAGCTAAATTACGCTTACAAATACAGACTTCTGAGCATGAACTGCTCCATGTAAAAAATGTCAGAGAGCTCCCCACAACCAAACCTGGAACACCCTATCCTCATAAACCTGACCCACAAGTAATCCTTCCAAATGTACGTATCAGAGACTAAGCACTCAGTTTGGCTATTCCTTAAACATTTTAGCCTTCCGGCTTAAATAGATAGAGCTAGGTAGTGAGATCTGTGTGATCCTGAGAGAACAAGCAGGGAAAGCAATGCAAATAATATGCTCAGTTAGTAACAGTCACATATTTCATGAGGAAGGGGCTATAATTGCCTGCAGTCTTCACGCCCTGCCAAGGAGTTACTTAAACAGAAAAAAAAATAAAAAAGATGTAAAAAGGGAAAAACCCCGACCTTGTAGTGTCGGTATCAGTACAAGGGGAAATGGCAGCCCAAATAAAGCCTCAAAGAGGCGTCGTTTTTCGTTGACATTTGTGCGGTGGGACGGGGGAGAGGTGGCAGTCTCGTGGAGGAGACTGCAGGGAGGGTGCGGAGCGCCCCTGGGTGCTGCGGGCCCCTGGGTGCTGCGGACACCCCCTCGCAGCGGCCGCCGGGGGGCAGCCCCGGGCCGTGGCGGCCGCCGGGGGGCAGCGGCGGGGCCGGGACAGCGGCGGGGCGGCCCCGCGGGCCGGGACACGATCGTTGCCCGGCCCGGCCCGGCCCGGGGCTGCCCCCCCCCCCCCAGTTTTTTTCGGAGCCGAGCTCCGCCCGTCGCGGCCCCGCCGCCGGGCGCCGAGCCGCCGGTGCCGCCGCCCTGCACCCATGCCGGGCCCCGGGGGGCTCCTGCTGCTCGCTGCCGCGCTGGCCGCGGGCACCAAGCAGAGAGGCAGCGCCGGGCAGCCAGGTCGGGGTGCTGGGGGGTGCTGGGGGGGTACTGGGGGTGCTGGGGATGCCCGCCGGGATGTGCACGGGGACGCGCTGGGGATGCCCGGGGTGCGGAGCCGCGGCTGCCCCCGTGCTGCCGGTGCGGGTCCCGCCGGTCCGGGCTGCCCCCGGCTCCCCCCCGGGATCCCCCGCGGGCCCCGGTCCCGGAGCGCCGCGGCCGGCAGCGGTGGGGGCACCTGGGGGCTCCGGGCACGGGGAGGTGTCCTGCTGCCAGGCATCTGCTGTGGGGCTCCAGCTCTCTGTTCAAAGTGGGAGCTTTATTTCTTTTCTTTTTCTTTTCTTTTCTTTCTTTTCTTTTCTTTTCTTTTCTTTTTCTTTTTCTTTTCTTTTTTTCTTTTTTCTTTGTCTTTCTTTCTCTTTTCTCTTCTTTCTCTTCTCTTCCTTCTCCTCTCTTCTCTTCTCTTCTCTTCTCTTCTCTTCTCGTCTCTTCTCTTCGTCTCTTCCTTCGTTTTTCCTTTCCTTTCCTTTCCTTTCCTTTCCTTTCCTTTCCTTTCCTTTCCTTTCCTTTCCTTTCCTTTTCCTTTCCTTTCCTTTCCTTTCCTTTCCTTTCCTTTCCTTTCCTTTCCTTTCCTTTCCTTTCCTTTCCTTTCCTTTTTTTCTTTCTTTTTCTTCTTTCTCTCTCTCTCTTTGTTTTTTTTCTTTCTTTTTTTTTTTTTTTTCCCTGTAGTTGTTAAACAGCAGGACTGTGTGCATTGAAACCAGGACTATCTGCAGCCAGTGGAGAGGAGAGGTGGAGATGCATTGCAGGAGGGCAGAGAAGAGAGTGAACGTGTGGACAGTGCACTTAGCTTCCAGGCACTGGGAGCTGGCAGCAGCAGTGGACACAACTTACAGATCCAACAGATATTTGGGTGCCTGACCCCACTTAGGAAAGGCGATTAACCCCTAAAGCTAACCACGAAAACCCTTTCTTTGCAGACCCTGCTCTGTGGTCATCAAGCAGCGACATCGTTCATCCGATCAAGGTTGACGAGACTGGAGCCTTCCTGTCCTACGATTTGTCCCACCGAGTGCTTCACAGAAGGTCTCTTTCCTCCAAGAGCAAGTTTCTCACCTTCTATGAAATGCATTACAAAGGCCAACCCCTGAAATTCAACCTGAGCCTCAACAACAACCTCCTCGCGCCCGGGTTCGTCAGTGAGAGACGATACGGGGGAATCGCTGACGCCAAGATCCAGTCCCACACTTACAACTCCTGCCATATGATTGGGGAGGTTCAGAGCCGGACCCTGAAGGGTGGCCTGGCCGCGCTCAGCACATGTGATGGCCTGGTAAGTACTGAGGTTCCTCACCCACCAAAAAATAGCAGAAGCTGTGAGAAATCCTTTTTTTTTTATTGTGAAAGTAATGGCAAAAGTCCTCCTGACAGCAGCAGAGTCAAGATCTCATTGTGTAGGTCTGATGCTGCTGTGGATGAGCTGACTGTAAATTTCCCATGGATTCCAGCGGTTTGGGAACTCTTGGGACTGTGTTTACTTGTGTTTGTGTCCAAATTCCCAAAGACAGCGATTCTCGTATCGCATCTGTCTTCCAGTATATAAATGTAGGATTACGACAAACACATCTGAAAACGAGGTTGTTCAAAGCCTGGAGCCTGGTTGTTCACAGCAGGATAGCGGCTCGTATGTAGTGAAACTCCTTTAGGTTTTGCAGATGTCAGCAGTCTTATTCAATTGTCAATATTTTCCAAGGCAGTTGTGGCATGTTAAGAAGGGGAATTTTGCTGAAAGCCACTGTCACTAATCAGAGAGGGGTGGAGGCTCTCAGCAAGGCACGTTCACGCTGTGTCTGCAGTAGCTTGCACCTTCCTGGCACAGGTATCGGGTCCCCACGGGGTTTAACATCTCGCAGAGATTTGCAGGAGCGTTGGTGCCAGTGCAGCAGCTGTGGGAGGTGTTGGTGTGTCCGGTGGTCCAGAAGCGTTGGCTGTGGCAGGATAGCATGGCAAGGCCATGCAACATGCTGGGCGCATCCTGGAAGGTGTCGAGGTTGTGCTTTTCCCACCAAATTTAACATCATCTGAGGGTGATCGGCACCCCGCACTTCACAGCTCCCTGAGCAGTCGGCTCTGGTTGTTCTGGTTGCACTCTCACCCTCAATTGGGGTTCTGCCAACGAGGGCGTGGGGTCTGGAGGAAGCCTGCCAAAGAGAGGGAGCAGAGCTAAAGAAGGGGCAGGCAGCTCAGCCCGGAGCTGGGAAGCACGGTCTGAGCTCCGTGGCTGTCTTCGCGTTGACTCCCTCCGTGATTTTGGGCAGCTTTTCTGCCCAAGGAGCTGGGACTGGAGAGACTTCGGGGGGATAAATGCTGCAGGAAACAGCCAGGCCTTTCATTCTGATACAGAATAGACTGATGTGTCTGGGAGGAACCCACGACCTTTCAATTCATTTTTCTGTGGATGTTTGGATGAGAGAAATCCTGGTGGCTGTAATGTGCACGGGAATAGAAGCTGTCGTAAAGCTCCCTTCAGAGTATTGCATGGACAATACACACGCGTACTCGTAACATGCGAGGCTCTGGAAACGTTTGGCTTTCTGTCAGACGCCAAACCACAGAAAACCACGCTAACAATGTGCTGTGTGTCTCACAGAATTATTTAGGAAAGTAAAGCCTGTCCCTGAGCTTCGTTACAGTGAGTTATTGCTGCTGCGGGGAGGTGCAGTGCCACGGGCTGCAGGAGCATGCTGTGTGGGCACGTGGCGGGGATGCGTGGGATTTCAAGATGCAGTTTGGGGCTCTGGGGTCCTGGGTGACTCCGTAACAACATCTGGCATTTGGACCAGGGTCAGGGGATCGTAATTAACCAAAGAAAGTTTTAGGGTGCTGCTTCCTGCTGTAGGAGAGGTCCCGGTGACACATCCTTTCCTCGTGGCACGGGGATGCGATGCTCCTTGTCCCGACACTGACTTTCCGTGATTTGGGTCCCTGCTGAGATCAAGAGCTCCTGCGGGTTCCTCCTCCTCTTCCCCAGGGGTTTGCTGCTGCTTGTCCACAGGAAGTCTGCAACCTGAGGGTTCAGTTTACAGCGACGGGGCTTAGTGCAAAAGGCCAGAAGCAACTGACTTCATCTCCTGAGGATTTCGTTATGAAAACATCTCCACTGGTCCAGCAGTTGCTCAAAACACTGGGGCTGCACTGTCCTCAAAGCCGCACTTTGGGCTGTGCCCCTGGGCTTCGCAAAGCTTCTCCAGGAAGGTCAGGGAGAGGCGGTGTGAGCATGGAGGAGGAAGCCCAGCACACACACATTCCTGGTGTGCTCTGCTTCTGGTTCTCTGGAGAAGGCATTGCTCTGCCTCCACAGCCCTGCAGCCCCTGATCTCCTCAGCGCAGCCACCATTCAGCTCAGCACCCCCTGCACCTTGTGGCTGGGATCTCTTTAGCTTCCCGTTCCCTTAATGATCAGTCCCCGCTTGCCTGTTCTCTTTGGTCTGGCATTTTAGAGCTCACAATATCCACAAAACTATTTTCAGAGGGGACCTGCTTTCTCCCTGGCATATTTTGCAAACCTCTCCCGTTCCCAGGTTCTTTGGTGTGTGTGTGCTCGATGCAGGTGGCTTCACGGTGACGTCTCTGTCTCTCCCCGCTAGAAAGGCGTGTTTCGGCTCATGAACGAGGACTATTTCATCGAACCAGTGGCCGCCAGCACTCCCGAGGACAGCGTGGCACAGCCCCACAGGATATACAAACGCCACGCTCCTGAGCACCGGGGAGAGCAAGGCAAGAGGCAGGCGGCGGCGCGGGCAGCCTGCGGCGTGCAAGGTATGGTCTCCTTTCTCTTGCCTCTCACCATGGGCCTGTGGCAGGGTCCTGGGATTCACAATTTGAATTCTGCAGCTTGAAGTGCACGGTGACAAGACCCCTGGTCCCCTAAGGTGCCTCAGCAGACACGCTTATCTTAAAACCCAGCGTTAAGCTCCTGAGATAAGCTCCCAGTAGCCAGCTTTTAGCCATAAAGGACACCTGTCTGGCTGGCAAGGAACCCCTTTTGTGTCTCAGAGCACTGAGGGACAACTGCCCCATGTTCTCGAGGGGATGTGCCCTGGGTTTTGTGGTGGTTTCTGGGGGCGGGGGGGCAGCACGGGGCTGCTCGGTTGGGGTCTGTCCGAGCAGGGGGCTCCTCGCTGCAGGACGGCCAAGTTTCCAAAAGCGTGGGCACGCAGCAATTCCCACGAGCGTTTTTCTTGTGGGAAGGCTGACCACCGCTTCAAAACGCGAGTCAGGAAAATTTGCTTGCTTAGCAGCAGGCAGAGGTTTTGTGGCATTTATGACTGCAGCCCACAGGTCACAGGAATTATTGCAGGGTTTTTTTCTCCTGCCAGTTTTCCTGTGTTTGCTTATGTTTCTCACATACATGACTCCAGTGCATGCTGAACCTCAGGCCTCTCGCTCTCATCCTTTTCTTCCGGCCCTGCTGCAAGCGCCCTGTGATGTGGAGGCAGTGTTTGTTTTCGTTTACATGCAAGCATCAGGTTTTGACCTTTCAGAGTAAAACTTGGCTCCCATGAGCTGAATTCCAGAACTCCCATTTAGTCCAGTGATCCAGGTTGTCTCCTTGATCCTTCTTCCCTGCGATGCAGATTAAACTCTTGTTTGGAGCACCTTGCTTGCAGTAGTGTCTAGGAACTAACTTGATTTCCACAAGAGCAGCTTCCCCTCCTGCTTTTTGGTGGGGTCGAAACCCAGCATTTTTCCTCAGTGGCCCCATCTGCGGGGCTGTCCCCACTAAACAGGTCCTGGGAAAGGCAGGAGGTGGTGGCTCAGATGGGCAGCGCTGTCACCTGAGAGCAGGTCCAGGAGGGCCTGCAGCCTGTGCTGCTGGCAGGGCTTTGGCTTCTGCTGGAGCAGAGCTCAGAGGCTCCATGGCACAAGCACAGGAGCGCAGGCTGGGGCTCTGGTGCTGGGAGGGAGAGCGTACAACGCTTACAGAAAGGCATTCAAAGTCTTTGCCACAATGAAGTCTCAGGGCTAGTCATAAATTGGTTGCCGCTGTGAAGAGGAGCAATCAGTGCTTCGGGCAGCCCGACCGCTGGAGCACAACCCCACGTCCCCTGGGGCTGGTCCAGCTGTGCTGGGGTCTGTGTTGCCCTTGTGATTTCGGGGCTGTTTTAACTCAGCTGAGATAGATGGAAGTTGGCTGCCTGCCTGCAGCAAAATCGTGTCATGGGGAGGTGTTTGCCTTAGGTACACATCCTGGAGGTGGGAGAGGCAGCAAGGGTACGTTCCTAGCCAGCAGTGCAGAGCAGGGTTTAAACGTGAGGGCACTCCCTCACCTGGGAAGCTGGGCAGCATCCCCATTCCTCAGCACTGCCTGCCCAGGAGCCTGGCCAGGTTGTCTTTAGGCATTTTTCTGGTAATCTAAATGAATACGGGGATAATAGAATGGCTCCTTCTGGACTTTGAAGCCTCTAAAATCCATTTGTAAAGGGATTTCGCTGGTTGTAATATGGCCAGTGTGCAGCACACCTGGATCTCTTCTGGAACACAGACCAGCAACGTGGCCGTGATGTATGTGCCCTGGAAAGGAAACTGAAAGTCTGCAGGATTCGTATAAATTCAAGTCTTTTATTTTGTACTGACGTCTTGCTGGCTTTCTTTGCAAAACACCACGCTGCCAGATGGTGTTAGGCTGACCTGGTATTCAGCTTCTGTCAGTCCCCTGTGCTGCATAGTGTGAGCCTCTGTGTGCAGCTGGGCAGGCGTGTGAACGGGATCTCCCGGGGAAATGCCACTGCAACCCTCCTTGGTAGCCAGGGAGCCACTGGCAATGAGCTTGCTAAAGTCCCTCGACGTCCTGCATGGAAGCTCAGCAGCAAAGGACGCAATGAAAACAAGCTCCAAGGAAGCCGTTGTGATTAAACTGTCACAGTGGTATCAGCAATTCATCAAATTATCCAGATACTTGGGATTTTTCAGTCTGGGGGATAAAACACTCTTTCACAGCTCAAGTACAGTATAGTCCATAAAATGTGAAAGTCCATTGTTAACAAAGTGAGGCAGAGCCCTTAGAAACTGGTCATAAAAGCAATTCCCACTGTGTGCAGTGTGGTTTGTAAAGCCTTTACCCAGCTTGGGGCTGACCCTGACCTTGATCTTGGAGCAGCGGCACAGGAAAAGTCTCGGCTTGAGAATTCCCAGTTGCTGGTGTGCCTTAGGAGCAGCAAAGCTCTCCTCTGGCGTCGTGTGTCTTTTCAGCCTGATGAATGTCCCTGTTGTTTCTCCAGGGACAAGCAGCGCAGGAACCCAAGGTTCTGTCTCCATGTGGCCAAGGAAATCTCTGTGCACCCTGCGGGTATTTCGGTCTTGCCTAGGACAGGGATGATCTTTGGGATTTGGCTCAAGACATCAGTCCAACTTCAAGGACATGGAGTTTATCCTTTTTGCTCTTTCCCAGCAAAATAGAAATGTGGGATTATACTCCTACTGAGCCACTGGTGTTTCTAAGCGGTGCATGCTCAAGCATCTCTCCATGGTTGCCTGTATTCATGTGTCAACACAAACCATAAGTGCTGCTCTGCTCTGGAGGCTGCGTGTTAGTCAAAATATTCAAACTCTGTTTCAAAGAATTTACTTCAAATGCCTTTTTTCCTCTTCTTTTTTTTTTTTTCCTGTCATGCTAATGCTGCTGTGCTACACAGTGAGATCAGAGTCTTCAACTCCCACTGATTTTTTGGAGCATACACCACAGCAAAATTACGAGTAGGTTCTGGGTTCTGAGTGTGGGGCTTCCTTGTCAACACCAGAGAGTTTTCTCCTTTATTTCAAAAAACGGTGGGCTTGATGATATTTTACCAATGCTGCTGGCATTTAAAAATAATTTAAAAAATGTTTCTTTTCCCACTTAAATTCCTCAGAATCTCGGGAAAATCTGGAGAGGTCTGAGAAGCGGCGGGAGAGATGGGAACAGAAACAACACAGGAAGAGAAGAATAAAGCAGCGCTCCATCAGCAAGGAGAAGTGGGTGGAAACGCTGGTGGTGGCAGACACCAAGATGATAGAATACCACGGGAGTGAGAACATCGAGAAGTACGTGCTGACCGTGATGAACATGGTGAGTCCTGGTCTGCTGAACCGCAGAGCTGCCAGGTCCCTGGAGATGCAGCTATGAGACATAAGGGCCACTGGGCTTGCCAGGGCTCAGCCCTAGTGGGACCTCAGCAAATCTCTCAGCAAACAGCCCGATCTCGCCTGCACGTGGGCTTTTCTGCACTGCTTGGTGCTCCATCTGCCTCTGGAGGATAAGGAAACCTCCTCGCAGGAGGAAAGACCCACGGGGACATGGGATCTTTGGCTCAGGCTCCCTTGAACTCAGCACTGGCAGTGCCAATGAAAGGCACCCATGAAGGGAGCGCTGCAGGCAGCTGCTGTGTTCCTCACCTCATCCCCAAATGCTGTGGAGCTGGTGCCAGCAGAGAGCTGTGAGTGGCTTTCCTGGTAAAGCTCCCCTGAGGACAGCCAAGGGAAGGAGCTGAGCCCAGAACCAGACTGTAGCTGAGCTGTTTTGCTGGCACCAAACCACAGGAGCATTAAATGTGAAACCTGTAGTCAGGCTTTAAAAGCTAATTGTGATAATTTCATTGAAATTCCTCAACAGCTCATGCTGCTGCTTGAACTCAAGCTTCTCAGGAGACATCCACTCATAACTGGATGGTCTGGTGTGCTAACGAACTAATCCTGCACAGCCGGGGTGCCACTGTTAGTTTTGCCTGGAGTCACAGAATCAGCCTGGCCGAGGTGGGAAGGGACCTCCAGAGGTCACCTCGTCCAGCCCCCTGCCCACGCCAGGCCACCTTGAGCAGGCTGCCCAGGGCCATGTCCAGAGTCAAAACATGAACGTGGTGGGCTTAAAAATCCAGGAGGTTTCCCTAACGCCGTAAGACAAGCAGATAATTCAGCGTGAGCTGGTACAGTCTGTTTGCTCTTGTGCTGCTGTGGTAACAGCCATGTGCATTTCAGAAGAGGGCTTGGTTGTTGGCCAGAAAACAGGGTGGGACTGGGTAGAGGACCTCAAGGTAAGATCCCCGGGTTTCTCCCAGTTGGTGAAGGCACTGCAAGAGCACAAGGATCTGAGATGTTAAACATGTCTGTTAGGGAGTGAAAGAAGTGGTTCCCCAGGCATTTCTGGTTGAGTTTCAGTGTGCTACACAGACTACAGCAGTTTCCAACGGATGTCGTCACACCAGGACTGCTTTAGGCCAGGTCTGCATCTGGTCTTGTCTTTTGTTTTTGGGAATTACCCGAGATGTTGTCAACAACCTTCAGTAGCTTCCCTTTGAGCTCATGTTGCCTTGCAGATGTATTTACCAGCAGAACTGTCCCAGGGCAAGGTCTTTCTGTGGAGCTTTATGTGTTTGGCCTTTGTGTTTTGCAGGTGGCAGGGCTGTTCCACCATGCCAGCATCGGGAACCCTATCAACATTGCCATAGTGCGACTCATCCTGCTGGAGACCGAAGAGGTAAGACGAAAACAAAGTGACTCACATTTCCATCCTGGCAGCCAGACTGGGATACACAAAGAGCTGGCCTTGAAAGCCTCTAAGGTCAATCTTGCGCTGTTTGCCTGGATGAATTTGTGTAAGATTCATGCAGATTCCCATGCCTCACTTGTCTCCTGCAAGGCCTGCAGCCGTGGTAAAGTTAGGAGGATTGCGTGGTGAGAGGAGCTGTGGTGGCTAATTCTTATAATAATTTCTAACTCAGCCACTTAACTCTGTGCCAGTATCTTCCCTCCCATCCTGTGACCCGTGGGACATTACCTGATGCCACTGGTGCTATTTGCCCACAGCAGCATCCCTCCAAACCTGGAGCAGTGGTGGTCCCCAGGCAGCTCTGGTGGCTGGAGCTCGCCGTGTCCCCGAGGAGCGTCCCGCCGGTGGTTGTTTGTGCTCCCCAGCTGCAGCGGCTGCTCGCAGGGAGCCTGACGCCTCTCGGGCTGGCTGCCCAGCTGCATCCTTCTCTAAAGCACATCAGCCAGGATGGAATATTTTCCTGCAGTGTTACTTAACCCCCGGTGTTGGGTGACTTCATGTTTCGGTTGAATCACAGAGGAAAAGAAAGTGGAAAAGGGCTGGATTCCCACCCAACCTGTATCTTATAAAATAGAAGCTATTCCCTCTATATGGCAGTTACTCCTGATCTTGCTCTGATGTGTCAGAGGTCAGACCCCTTACCACTGCATCCTGAAAAACAAACAGGTCTGTCAGCAGTATGACAGCAGACTTTTAATTGTTTTGACAGGAGGATCTGAAAATCTCCCACCATGCAGACAACACCTTGAAAAGCTTTTGCAAGTGGCAGAAGAGCATCAACGTGAAAGGAGATTCCCATCCCTTACATCACGATGTTGCAGTCCTGCTCACAAGGTATTGTGCCTGTGGGCTAATTTTATGCTTCAGGGGCTACTCTGCCAGCTGGAAATTCCTCCAGGGGCTGCAGGCAGGTGGGACACAGGCAGCCAGGGGCACATCTCAGTGGCAGCTGAGACACCCCATGTAAAATCTCACTCTCTGTACCTGAGCCCTGTCTGGATGCCTGCACATACAGCACAACTTAAAACAAGAAACCTGAAGGTGACCTGACCCTGATGGCAGGAACTGGTCTCAAACCTCAGGTTTAAACCTGGAGACAGCTCCCAGTTGAGTAGAAGCTGGGGTTTCCAATCCAGGTTTTCACCATAGCCCTATTGGCAAGCACCAGGGTGGGTGGATCCTTGCAGCAGATGTACACAGGGATTAGCTCTCCTTTTTCCCTTGCAGATGAATGCAGGGATTTGCAAAGGAGCCTCAGAGCAGGCCCCTAACCTCCCATGAAGCTGGGTGGAATTCATGCCTCTGGCCAAGTTTATGTACCTTGCAGTCAAAATGGAGTTTGATGGTTTCAGGCTGCAGCAGCTTGGATGTTGGCAGTATCGTGGTTGTTTGTGCAGTGATTCACAACCCACAACAGAATTATCTTCTTTAGGAGATTTCCTTTGTAGCAGAAATAAGGCACTTAAGGCCGTGCACTTCGATGGGGCTGTTCATCCTGGGTGGCTGGAGGTCCCCTGCCCTGGACCACAGCACCCCTGGGATGTACTTCCCCAAGAAATGTAGTGATTGCTTAATTATTCCCAGCATCAGCTTTATTTATACAATGGAATAAACGTAGCCAGCCTGGCTTGCAGTTCACATTAATCAGTCTTTCTAATAAGCTGGGGATACCGAGAGAGTAAAGGGGAAAGGAAAGGCCATAAATCTTTCTGCTGCAGAAAGACGTTTGGATGTCTCCATTCCTGCTTCTGTTTGGCCAGCATCTGCTGGGCTCAGGACACATCCCCTTAGACCAGGCTGGGGAGGCAGCGGGGGCTTGCTCCTGGGTGGCTGCCTTGGGCTGGCTCTGCACACACAGAGCCCTGCCCGCGCTCGCTCTTGTGTTGTCCTTTGATTCCTGATGTCTTCATCCCCTCTTTGCTGTGTGTTGTTGTTTCCAATCACCAAGGAAGGACATCTGTGCAGCGATGAACAGACCCTGCGAGACCCTGGGTCTGTCCCACGTGGCGGGGATGTGCCAGCCCCACAGGAGCTGCAACATCAATGAGGACACGGGGCTGCCCCTGGCCTTCACCGTGGCCCATGAGCTAGGACACAGGTACCCCCATTTCCTTCTTCTCCTTTCTACCCTCTGTCCTCTGCATGGTTTAGTCAGGACTTGACAAGGGACAAGTAGAAGTTGGAAGGATGTTGCCGAGCAATTGCCTGAATCCAGGGGAATTTACCCTGGGAACTGCATTCCAGAGTTAAGTTTTTGATTGCTCCAGGTTCAATGAAAGTCATGTCCAAGAAAACACAGAGAAATTACACATGTAAGTTCTCCTGTGTTGCTGATGCTACAGGTTGTGGAGAAGAGGGTTGCTCATTACAAAGTTTTAAAATAGAGTCCATGTGTATAGCATCAGTGACAGAATTATGTTTGTCCTGATTTCAGTTAAACTTGGGAAGGTCATTTGAACATCATAGTCCATAACAGATATAGTTGTACAGTAAGTCTGTAACCAGTAAGTTTAATTAAAATGACTTGGTTTAATATTCTCATTACTTTTTTCTTGTCTGAGTTGACAGTAATAAAGCTAAAGTAAAAATCTTGTGTAAAATACGTACATTGGGAAAAGTTCCATGTAATAATTATACATCATATTAAATTTTGGATTTAATATAGATCTGTTCAGCTAAATGCTTGCTTTGCATGCTCTCTGCATGAAGCACAGTCCGTTGGCTTTGTCACTTCAAAACAGCAAAAATATCCCTGGTTTACTCCAGTGCAAGGCCACACAAGCTCCTGGGGCTGTTCCCCTTGCTCGCAGTGTCGCAGGACACAGGGGCTGGGCACAGCCCTGAGCACAGCCAAGTTTCCCCAGCTCACCAAGCAGCCTCCTGCTTGCCACTGCTGGCCACGGCAGCTCATCCAGGGCATGCTCTTGGCATCCTCTTAATAAAACCCCACTGGAGCCTGTCCCCTACCACATGGGACAAAGCTTGTGGGTGTCTCTGGTCCCGTTTCCCAGATAGCCAAGTGCTCTACTCCCTGTTCATTAGCGAGTCCCCACGAAGCTGTGAATGTTTTTAATGTCTGGTGTAGCGTCTCGGAAAGCAGAGAAGCTGCGTGGTTGTAGCGGGCATGCAGCTCACCTCTCCTTTGTGGGACTGTGCTCTTACACAGTTTTGGGATTCAGCATGATGGAAGCAGCAATGACTGTGAGCCAGTTGGGAAAAGACCTTTCATCATGTCTCCACAGCTCCTGTATGACACGTCCCCACTCACCTGGTCCCGCTGCAGCCGGGAGTACATCACACGATTCCTCGAGTAAGTCCTCGCTTCCTCTTCTCTTCCCTTTGTGTCTGTACTCGGGGCCGAGCTGGCTGCCACAGCTTGGGGCTGGGTTGGGCTTTGGGGTCTGCAGAAGACTTTCTGGTCTCAGAAGTCAACCCCAGGGCACTGAGGGGGATTTCTAACTTGCTCGGTTGCCTTGGTCCTTGCTGGGAAGGATGAGTATTTGAATGCAAAGGCAACAGAGCGTTTGTGCAGCAGCACAGTGCTTGTTGCTTGAACAAATACAGCTAGAGCACTTTTCTTCATTGACTTAGCTGTCGGGATTCCCAAAGCATGGTTGCCCCAGCAGCAAAATTCTGGCGCTGGCTCTGCTCCTCTGAGCTCCAGTGTCAGCGACGGGTCGCTTGCACCAGCCTAACAGAGGGGTGGCCATCTGGAAGCACGTAGGCACATCCAAGCTGCTGAGCAGAAGGAGCAGTTTCCCATGGCACTTGGGGTTTGTAGCACTCGGTGCACCCCAGAGAGCCTGATCTTGCCTTCTGCTCGTCCCAGGAGCAAGGCTGTGCTTGGGGTGAATGCATGATGGCAGCAGGCACCACGTGAGGAGATGAGACCAGGCCAGATTCTTTGCTGCATTTGTTTATTTTTAGTGCCCTGTGGCTGATTTTGCAGTCTGTTGTTATTAAATTCTTAGGAACGTGGCCCAAGTTTTACATTTGTCAGCCAGGGTCTTGCACTGGAGGGACATTTTTCTTCCTTGTCACGGGAAGGTTAGAAAACAGCGAGATCATCTGCCAGAAGCAGCGGCCGAGCAGCTCTGGCTGGGGCTGGTGTGCTCACAAGGGGCTGCGAGCTGCGTGGTAGGAAGGCTGCCTGGTGCTGAGCTCCCATTTCTAAATCCCAGCCAATGGCCCGAGGTAGGGTGAATTATTGTTGATTTTTGGCTTTCAGTGGAATGGGGCTTTCTCGCATCTACAGAGTTCTTGGCCCTTTGTCTTTAACCTTCGCTTTTAGATGAAGCATTTCCTGCTGGCAATAACCTTGGGTTGCCGTTAGCTGCGGCAGGGAAGAAGCAGACCATCTGTCTGCTTGTCCAGTGGTGTTTTGGTCTCTTTGCTCCCCTCCCAGAAGGGGCAGCTCTTCCTCCAAGAGTGGAGCAGAGTTCAGCAGGCGTCTCTCCGTGGCTGTGACATCCCCGAGGCGAAGGAGAGGCCTGCTGCGAGCGCAGACATGAGCTCGTTTTAATACAGTGCTGGCAGGAGAATGGGCAGCAGCGAGCCAAAAAATGAGACCCTGCTGACCTGGGGTTGCTAGATGTGCTTGGAACAGACCTCGCGTTGGGAAAAAAAGCCCTCTCAGATGACGGTGATTGTTTTACAGAAGAGGGTGAGCCCTGCTGAACAGTTAATGTTGGAAAATGGTTCGTGCCTTCGATGGCAGCACGGCCCTGCCGCTGCTGCGAGTCGGGCAGGGGGCTCTGCGACCCTCTGAGAGCATCCGATGGCATGGAGAAGGCTCCCCTTGTCTCACAGCAGCTGACTGCCGTGTCTCCCTTCAGTCTTCCCTTCTCCAGACCAGCCAACCAGGTTTTCAGCCTCCTCTTGCAGTGCTGAAGGTCTCCGTGCAGCCTCCTCCCGTGGTTCTCCTCCTGGCTGACCCACACCGTGGCTGCAGCACCCTGCATGCTGCGAGCACCCAGCCCTTCCTGCAGCACTGCTCCTCTCCAGCCATTCCAGCTCCCCTGTTTGTGCAGCTGATTCTTCCCAAGTTTAAATCCTTGCCTTTGTTTTTATTGAATTCAGTCCTCTCTTCTTGGGCCTTTCTTTGACTTCTCCAAGAGCTTTCGGAATTTTAATCCCACTTGCAAATGTATTTGCAGATCCTCCCAGCCTCCTTGCATATGGGGATTTAATCACCATGCCATCTATCCTATCATCTAGCTCATTAATGAACAGGCTGAAGGAGGCAGATGCAGTGCAGAGCCCTGTGATTTTTCACTGCAGTGTGGGTTACTGTCGATCCCTTCAAAGCCAGATTAAAACTCATGCCAGTTTTTGCTGGCTCAGTGAAGTTTTTTGGCAAAAGGTGGAGGCCAGCTGAAGGCACCGTAGGATAATTGTAAAATATTTAATGAAGAAATAGATTTTGTTCATACCTCTGGGCAGTCAACAAGGAATCTAAACCACTCCCCACACTGGGGCTGCAGGAGCTCTCCTGTAAGCTGAGGCGATGTTGGGCTGCTCCCAGCCAAGCGAGGGGCTCGCAGGTGCCTGGGGGGGACCCCGCAGGTGCAGGAGGGGAGAGGGGCAGCGGGTGCCTGCTGTGCCGGGTGTCACCCTGCCAGCACCCCACAAAGTGGGTGCTCACCGTGGCTCCCGACCTCCTGCCAGCCCCGCTCCCTGCTGCTGCCGAGCTGGGCCGTGTCGGCAGCTTGGGTTAGAAAGGAATCCTGGTTCACGTTAATTGAGACCTGTTTCCAATCACAACGAGCTGAAGTAATCTAATCTGCTCCGAAACCCACGCTGGAGACTTTGCGTTGCTGGAAACAAGCTTGTTTAAATCAACACTGTAAGCTAAACTAGTGACAATTTCTTGTGTGTTTGGGAAGTATCATAGCAAAACCACTCGCGGCGGAGCAAGGCGGCCAGGAACAGCCTCTCAGGCTCCCAGGCAGCCTGGCAGGGGGCCACAAGCTGCCTTGGCAATGCTTCGGGCTCCGTTTTAATATCTCTTTTCTAAAAACATGCTGTCCAGCACAGGCTGAGCACTGTTTGTAGCGGCAGATATGAGGGTGAGTGAGTTTTGCTGCTGACAATCCGCTTTATTTTTATTACCGGGGCATTGACACTAGAGCCAGAGCATCCGTAGGGACGTTTCGGGAGCCAGCCTGGTGTATGAACGCGAGGACAACATCTGCTTCTCTGCAGTGCAATGTTTGCTCAGCGAAACCCTTCACCTTGAGTGGTGAAACTGAGGCCCAGCCCCCCCCGGCTGAGGACTTTGCTAATGAGCTAGTTGCAAATCTAAGGAGCAGGGAGTTATTCCCAGGCAAAGCTTTCCAACGGGGAGCAGCAGGACATGCTGGGGGGTCAGTGGGTGTCTCAGGACTGCAGGGGCAGGCAGTGACGCTGCCCTGGTGTCTCTCTTTCAGCCGGGGCTGGGGGCTGTGCCTGGATGACCCCCCTGCCCGGGAGGTGCTGGATTTCCCCCTGGTGCCCCCGGGCGTCCTCTACGACGTGGGCCATCAGTGTCGCCTGCAGTACGGTGCCTACTCCACCTTCTGTGACGACATGGACGTAAGCTGTGGTCTCTCCCAGTGTCTCACGAACTCGGGCAGCTCCAGGGGGGTTTTGGTGGCGGGGGCTTTGCATGGGGCGACCCTCTCCCTGTGAGTTCAATCTGTACCAGTGAGCTGGTCCGTGCAGTAACCATGTCCTGTGCAAATCTGCTTTCTGCAGAGCGTCTGCAACACGCTGTGGTGCACGGTGGGGACCACGTGCCATTCCAAGCTGGACGCTGCCGTTGATGGCACAGCGTGCGGGGAGAACAAGGTGAGTGGGAGCATTCCCATCCAGAGATGGAGAGCCTCTTTGTCCTGCATGCAGGGGAGGCTCTTTGCCAGAAAAGTGTAAAACCTGGAGTTTTGCAGACTGCAGTGCATGGGGAGGGGCTCACCTCGCTGCCCTCACTCTGGGGGGCACACTGGCTTTGCCCAGTGGAGGGGCTGGCAACCTGCAGGGACGTGGGGGGTACCCAAAGGCCCTGCTATGCCATCAACCCCATCATCAGGGGCTTCTTGACCATGGTAGCATAATGCTGTGAAGTTACAAAAATACCTGCACGTGCCTCTGCTCAGCACATTAAGGGGCAGTGCTGGGGATCTGTTGCCTCATTTGAATCTTCAGACAGCCTGCCATCCCTGAATTTCCCATAGCACAGAGGGGAAACTGGGCTCTCCAACTCAAGGTCCAACTGCACATCATTTACCTGGGCTCTCTTCTCCTGCACTGTCCCTTTGCAGTGGTGCTTCAACGGCGAGTGCGTGCCAGTGGGTTACCGTCCCGATGCCATCGATGGCAGCTGGGGGCCCTGGAGCTCGTGGGCTGCCTGCTCGCGGAGCTGCGGCGCGGGCGTGCAGAGCGCCGAGAGGCAGTGCAGCAGCCCCACGTAAGTGAGCGCAGGCTCCTCCGTGAAGAAAAGGAGCCCAACGCTTCTGATGGCCTCATAAAGCTGGGGCTGTCACCTGCCCAGCCTGGTCCTAGCCAGGTCTGCACTGCACAGCAGAGGAGGGGTGCCGGGATGTGGTTATCGTCCTGAACAAAGTGCATCTGAAACACCATGGGTGATTAATTTCCCAGGGCTATCCGTCCGTCTGGGCGGCAGAAGCCCCTGGAGGGGCAGAGCTGGCTCCGTCTGCTCTCACACGCAGCAGCTCCTGCCCTGTGCACGCAGAGCGTGCTGGAATGTGATTCCAACAAAGAGCACAGGCTCGATGCCTGTAGATGTAAAACATATCCGGCATCTTTTTAAAAGAAAGCCAGGCGTTCTCCCATCGTGATTCACCATCATTTTGAAAACTCCCGCTGCTGCTTATCAACCCTTCTCTCCCCGTGAGTGATTCCTGAGCGTGCTGCATGAGCTGCAGTGCTGGGATGCTCCCTGCTCCCTGGCTGGCAGCCGGCTCCAGCCCAAGGGCTGACCCAGGAGCAGCATTGTCCACGCCGTGACCCAGCTGCTCCCCAGATGTCTCCCTCCAGCTCAGCCCCTATTGTATTGAATTTGCACAAAGGCCTCTGGCTCGCCCAGGTGTCAGAGTGCCCTGGAACAGGGAGAGAAAAGGGCTTTGTGAGCAATTTTCCAGTGGCAGTCAGTTTTCAATGGCTTAAGGAGATTTGAAAACGAAGGATCTCTCTAATGAGCCCAGATGTGCCTTCTGCCTAACTTCTTCCCTGGGTGCTTTGTTTTTAGCACATGCTATCTGACTGTTTAAAGAATCACTGTGTAATCTCAGTCCCAGGTCAAGAGCTAGGTTTGTGTTTGACATGAGTTTTGTGACAGAAGTGCAATTGTAGTTTATGGAGTGTTTTAAACACAGCTGCAGGCATGGAGGAGAGCAAACACTGTAAAAGCAGCAGAATTCCCCTGGCCAGTTGTTTGCTTTGGCCACTGTAGGTAAATCTTCAGCTTTGCCTTTTGGATGAAGTGAACGAATGTGTGCATTGGGTAGTCCTTCCTGCCGCAGGCATTTCCTTAGGGAAGGTATGTAAACAACTGGAAAATAATCATTAATTTTACTCCCTTCAGCAAAGCGTGCCCAGTCTTAACTGACTGGGGAAAAAGTCATTTTCATAAGGTCGTGGGGATGTGGGCCACTGAAATTGCAGTCACCAAACCAACCTTGTGAAAAGGCAAGCACCAGAAACTGGTGGCAGCATTCTGAGAGTCTGCTGGCATCTAAGAAAAGCCCATTATTGCCTTTAAGGCCCTCTTGCTTTGAAGATGTTGGAAAGAACGATATGTTTTTAAAACTGCTTTCTGAAGTATCCTTGAAAGTAAGTGAGAATTTATAGCCTCGTGTGCTTCTGGCTGTTTCTGTCATTTAGGAATCGTAAGCATGAAAAATCTAAAGCCTGAAGAAATGTGTTTGCTCTCAATAGATGTATTTGGGGATTTCCCTGTTCTGGCCATGTGTTCATTCTGGACCTGTGTGTCACCCTGCTGGGATCACCAGCAAAGTCACAACCAGGCAGAGCTGTGGTGAGCAGGGCGGGTGCAGCACTTGGTCCGCAGGGTGTCACAGTGCCCGGCAGCAGGAGGAAGGAGGGATTTGGACATGAACACTCCTGGTTACATGTCTTTACTAACTGGTTTTATAGCTTCGTAAACCAGGCCTATAAAATTGGCTATATTTGCAACGTTAAGGAAGGATGGTCAGGAGGGACGAGACGCAAAAAGTAGCTGTGAGCCTCCAGTATCTTCCCAGGGGACTCGCAAAAATGACTGCTTCACGCATCCCTTTTTCAGTCTGGTTGATCCTTCCATGAGGCAAAGAGGGGCCTGGGGACCAACAAATCCAACCCCTCTCCTGCACCGCCGCAGCCTGGCCGCTGCAATGCTGTGCTGAGTGCCGAGAGCAAGAAGCAAACCTGGCCAGAAGCAACCCCCGAGGGAATTAGGCACCTTCCAAGGGAACAGAAACAGAAACAAACAGCAAAGCTGGAGCAAAGTCAGCTGGGCTTGGAATTCTGTCACCTCCGGAGCTGGGGGCTCTGCTCTCTCCGTATCTCTGCTGTGTGCGCCCGTATCTCTGCCAAGTGACCGAGGACTTTGTGCAGAGCATCAGTGTCCCCTGCCCAGCGGGGAGCTGGAGAACAAGGACATGGGCGATGCTTTCTGAGCATTTAAAAATCTCCTCCATACGTTAGGGATTACAGTTATTGTAAGGGAGTTCCCGTGGTGTGCACTGTGTTAATTTCTGCTTTTCCCTCCCGCGAACAGGCCGAAGTACGGGGGCAGGTACTGCCTGGGGGAGCGGAAGCGGTTCCGGATCTGCAACATCAGGCCGTGTCCCCCCGACAAGCCGTCCTTCCGCCAGGTGCAGTGCAGCCAGTTCAACCCCATGCCCTACAAGGGGAAGCTCTACAAGTGGACGCCAGTGCCCAACAACAGTGAGTGCGCACAGCCTGCCGCCAGGCTTCTCCCGAAGCCCTGGCAGAGAGCCTTAGATAGATCCTTGCCATGGCTTGGTCTTGCTGGAGCTGCCTGTAAAAGATTTGCCTTCCTTTCCCACCAGTCTTGCAGTGTATTTATGCCGTATTTTGAATTATGGCTGGGTTTGCAGGATTAATTTGTGTTGTCGGAGATGGTTACATGGAGAGAAGGTGGCACCTGTCCGTGTGAGCCCAGGGCAACGCTGCTGCAGAAAGCAGGCGAATGAAGGCGTGCAGACCCCGGCTCCTCGGGTTCAGTTTCTGTCTGTTCGGCTCCCCAGTTAACCCCTGCGAGCTGCACTGCCGCCCGGAGAACGAATACTTCGCAGAAAAGCTGCGGGACGCTGTCATCGATGGGACCCCGTGCTACGAAATGAACGCCAGCCGGGACATGTGCATCAACGGCATCTGCAAGGTACGGCCCTCACCACGGCGTGCCAAGGGGCAGCAGCTCCCCCGTGCTCCAGGAAGGGCTGGTGATCGGGGCTGTGCCCGCTGTCCCCTTGCAGACATTCCCTGACCCACTTTGTTACCATTTTTCTGCACAGAAATGAGGGTGAGCTCTCCATACTCCATACAAGATATTTGGTGCAAGGGTTTTTTAAGCCTCTTTGCTGGCTTCAGGGAAATAGAACACAAAACCAAAGAAATACACAAAGTACAGTTTCACTTGAAAATAAGGCTGGGGAGATGGAAAGGGCAGGTGGAGAGGACACCCAGCCCAACCCAGCCCTGCAGTGCTGGCAGATGCTGCTCTGACCCACAGCCTGCAGCAATGGAGATGTCTTCCCCAGCCCCAGCAGCCTCTCCCAGCACTGGGGTTTGTTCTGCCTCCCAGGCTGTTGTTGTTCTTTCCTGAAAGCTCCGTGCAAGCTGCAGCATGTGGCAGAGCTGCCTGGCTGCTGGCTGGGGAGGGCATCTCTGGCTCAGGAGGGATGGGACAAGGATCAGAGAGAGCTGCAAGGAGAAGGCAAGTCAGGTCCTCTCCTCCTTGTCACTTCCGTGGAATTCTGGTTGCTGTGAGGGCTGTCATGCAATGGACGGCGCAAAGAGCAGCAGGGAAAATAATCAGTAAGCAAGTTTCAGCGTGTTGCATAAAAACCATTCGTGGAAACTTCCTCCTCTTCCTGGCTGCGCTGCCAGTGGCACCAGGCAGAGGCTGATGGCAATTGCTCTGCACAGCAGGAGACTCGGAGGAGGTCACATTTCCTCCTTTAATAGTCTGCAGGTTACTTCAAAGGCTGTAGCGCACAGATGCACAGGCACGGGCTCGGGGGAGAGCTCAGAGGTCATGGTTTTTACTTGGCACATACAAAAGAGCGGGATCCAGCAGCTCTCCTCAGATGACAGCACGTTCACTCCGAGCTAACTGCACACGTACAGTTGTCACTGACTGCAAGCCTGCTGCTGGCTTCAACACCAGAATTAAACCTGGCTCAGTACAGAGCACTGCAGTAGCTAAAATAGTTCCAGCACGTGTGTGCAACTGGCTCCCTGGACACATCCTCCTGGAGCTCAGACTAAAGGCTTCTCGGTGGCACGGGGCCCAGCGGGACCCTTGGGGAATTGGCTGCAGTTTTTATTGTGCGGAGTCAGATGGAGTCTCCATTTGATCGAGCAATTTGGCAGCTGCCTAGGTCCGAGGTGTGGAGAGCTCCAGCAGAACATAGGAAAGGTTTTGGGGAAGTGTTTTGAGACAGGATTGGCAAGGCCAAGGATCAGGAGGCTGGCCCAGCTAGGCACAGCTCTTAGCACGTGCCGACGGGCTCTGGGGACTCGGGGCTGCAGAGCAGGGCAGGGGAAGGTGACGAGATGCCCCTCTGGCTTCTCAGAGCTGTATGAACAGGACAGGGGGCTGCAGGCAAACACTAGAGTGAGAAACCCACATTGCAGCCCCCCTGGGTGTGCCACCCATCCTGCAAAAACACTCCAGCTCTCCCCTCTCCAATCTATGTTCCTTTTTTCCTGCCGTCTCTCTGCTGAGGCTGGTCCTCATAACTCTGGTTGTTTCCCACGTTTGGCTGCTGGAGCCAATTCCAGCGAATCCCTGGGTGGGTGCGGGGCCGGTGCTGATGGGGTCTTGTTGCAGAACGTGGGCTGTGACTACGAGATCGACTCCAACGCGGTGGAGGACCGCTGCGGCGTCTGCCACGGGGACGGCTCCACCTGCCACACCGTCCAGAAGATGTTCGAGGACAGCGAGGGGCTGGGTAAGGGTGCTCGGCACTGACCCCAGAGCAGGACACCCCTAGGGGATAAAGACAAGCACCATGCGCTGAGCTTTCAGCAGCCACAGCCTCCCCAGGGACCAAACGGTTTGGTGGAAAGTTGGGGGGTGAGCAGAGCGGGCTTAGGGCAAGCACACAGCTCCCAGCCACCGGAGAGCAGAAAAATGTCTTGTTGTTTTAAATGGTTTCCTTAAAACAACCCCCCTGCCCTGCAGAGCTCATTTTTCCCTTGATCAGCAGTGCACGGGGAGGGGGTGGCTTGCAAACAAAACCCCAGCGCTGCAGGGACGTCCTGGGAGGCAGCACCCCGGGAGGAGGGATGGCTCTGCAAGCACCATCACTGCTCTGGGCTGCAGGAACCCAAGGGACACGGGACTTTGTTTCTGTGTGTTCAGCACCAAGAGCCAGGCTCCCTCACGCTGCTCGCTCGCAGTGTTTCCTCAGCCCAGCCTGGTTGATTTTGATGAGATAAGGGCCAAGCAGTAGCGCAGGGAGCAGGGGAGTTGCCTTTCCACTTCTTGCCCCTCAGAAGAAAAATATTTCCTTACTGCTGTTTGTGCTTAATGACCTCAGAACAAATCTCTGCAGCCTGAAGCTCGTTTGGAAAGGCTTAAAATGATTTTGTGGGTTGACAAGGACATGATGAAAGTGTGTAAAGCCCTTGCCAGCACTCAGGCAGGAAATGTGTTCCTCTGATGTCTCCAGGAGATGCCAGCACCCTGTCCCAGGGGGCACTTAGCCACCTACCCCAGGGAGCAGATCGTGTTCTTGATTCCCCCCGGGGCAAATGTTTATTGCACCCCAGGTTACGTTGATATTGGGATTATCCCCGCTGGAGCCCGAGAGATCCGCATCGAAGAAGTCGCAGAAGCCGGCAATTTCCTGGCGCTGCGGAGTGAGGACCCCGAGAAATATTTCCTGAACGGCGGCTGGACCATCCAGTGGAACGGGGATTACAGGGTGGCAGGCACCACCTTCACCTATGCGAGGACAGGGAACTGGGAGAACCTCACGTCTCCAGGGCCCACCGTGGAGCCCGTGTGGATCCAGGTACGGGCTGGGCTCTGCCTGCAGCCAGGGCGTGCAGCTGGGGGGCACGAGGGGGCATGAGGGGGCTCTGCAGCCTTCCTGTGTGGGGCTGCGGGGAAGGGGTCTGTCACAGCACTTCGTGGCCACCCCCGGGAAGGGGCCGTGTCCCCTCCCCGGTGTGTTTTCCCCGAAGGCGATGCCACCAGCAGCCGAACACACGCTGCTGGCCCGGGGAGCGCATTTCTGAGCTCGGGGTGGGTCTGGTGCGCGCTGCTTCCAGCTGAGCCTCATCCAGCTTGCAGCATTCCTCAAAATATTTACACAGGAGAGAGAGTATGAAAAGAAATAGCTGGCTTCCGGAGGCTTTCACCATATCTTATCAAGAGCAAGGGAAGAGCCCGTGGTGTTTCTGGCAGGGCTGGAGCAGCCTGTGGGTCCAAGTGGGCTCCAGCGCTGGTGGAGGCACCAGGGAGCTGGGAGCTGCCACACTGTCACCCCTTGGCAGTGCCACATTCATGCCAGCATCAGGCCCCCGGCACTGCCCAGGGTCTGAGCAAGGGTTCACGCCCCTTGGGGGTGCCCAGGCAGGTCCAAAGCCTGGGTGGTGCCTTTGTGGTTCTTGCTGGTCAGGCTCTGCTTGCTCACAACACTGCTGGAGGCAGAAAGCGAAAATCCAAGAGGATCATTTGAAATCCTCCGAACCAACAAGAATTTTCAGGTTTTACTCATTTGTCCACATGGGAATTTCAGCTCCCCTAAAGTAAGCTGTGACACCCCCGAGGCACTGAAGGGGTGAGCCTGTGATGGGGCAATGCTGCGTGTGGCCAGCCAGGAGTGTTATGGTTACACACATCAGTCCTAAGAAAAGCAACACGATCAAACCAAATTGTGTTGCACAAGCATGTGTCCAGGGTGGTGGAAGTGCAGGGGAGGAGAGCATCTGCTGGTCCCCAGGAGCTGCTCCCCGTGGATCCATGTCCCCAATTCACCTGATGTGTCCTGGGGGTGCTTTTAATAAGAGCAACCTCGCCAGGCACCGCACCCCTCCTTGGCAGTGGCAGCTTAAAATCACCTCGTCTTCCTAACCAATCCCATCCCCTTAATTTTCACCTTATTTCCATAGAAAAGAGTTGCCCAAGGGATTGCTTTTCGGCACAGCTTTATGTTACACGAGCTTTGCACAGGTCGCAATGCCCTGCGCTGGGGACAGCTGAAAGGCAGCGCGGGACCTGAGGGTCCGGGATCGTGGCTGCTGGGCAGCTTTTTGGGAAGCTGCTCGCTGCCGACGTGTTTGGGTCTGGTGGTGAGGGGTCTGCTGGGTCATGCAAAGCTTTCAAGAGCTGACGTCCCTGTCCCCAGAGGCCAGGTTTTCCTCTGGAGACACCGGTGGGATTTGTCCCCCTGACTGTGGTCCAGCTGCTGTCAGGCTGAAGTTTCTGTGGGTGCCAAACCGGCTCGGGTTTGAGCGCCACGGTTAAAATCCGAGCAGTGTCCTGAGGGGTTGTGCACCGTGGAATGTGAGGATCCCTCCTCGAAATCACACCACGCAGGATGTAGGAATGAGTAATGCTTGAGCCCTAGAGGTACGCTTCGTGACTGTGGTTTAACCTTGTTTTTTTTCCCTTTTAACCACCCCCTGAGAAGTGAAGAAAGAGATGGGCTCACCTTGGGTGTGCTGCCTTCATTAGCACAGCAGCAGGAGGAAACGGGGGGGTTCCCACTGTGCCCTGCAGCCCGGGCTGGTGGAGCTGGGCAGGGAGAGGATCAGGTCTGCTGCGAGCCTGGGATTTGGGGCTTTGCACAGCCCGGGTCTTGTTTCTTGTGTGTGCATTCTTGGCCTCGGTGCCCTGCTTGGTGCAGAGACGGGGTGGGCAGGGAGCTGTGGAGCAGCCCGAGACAGCCAAAAATTTGGGTTTGTGTTTTTGCAGAGCTTCAGGGTGAGAGGGCTCCTCAGCTCCTCTGCCTCCAAGCCTCGCTTTCCCCTGCTAATAAGGCCACAGGCGTGCTCAGCACCAGCAAATTGCTGGGATGCTTTCTGGGCTTCATAACCTAATTAAAACCTTTTGACAAAAATGTTTCAATATTCATGAAGAGGTTTTGGAAAGGCGCCTTTGCTCCTGCAAAAGCTCCAAGAACAACAAAGCTTTGGCAATAATGGGAGCACTTAGGCTAAAAAAAACACATTTGAACTCGCAGCCTTTTGGGAGTGCTGAGTGGTGCTGGGGGCGCTTTGGGCAGGGCTGGCGTTCGCCATAGGAGCAGCCGCACTCATTTGGAGAGCAGCGAGAGCCACAGAGCAAGCGGGGAGAAATTATTTTCATTCCTTGCAGCGTGTGTTAGCAGCCACTGCGCGGGTGTTTGCTGCCGGTGGGCTCCTTGCTGGGTGTTGTGGCACACACAAAACGTCCTCACCCTGCTGTGCCTGGGGCAGGGACATCGGGGCCCTTCTCGGGGCAGGACCCGGCCGTGCTGAACCTGGAGGAGCTCCTTGGGCTGAGCTGCGTTTGGCAGCGGGACCGGAGGGAATTAACAAGGAAATCCTTCCAGGCTCTTTGGCAGAGCAGACGTAAAACCGAAGTCCTGGAAGCTCTCAGTGCTGCCGCTGTTATTTTTATTATTACCTGACATTTCCACAAGCCCAGTGCTCTCAGCAGGGCCAGCTGGGGCACTTCTGCCCTCACCCTGCTTTGAGCACTTTTTGGGTGTGTTTTCTGACACAGGTCGCGTGCTGCTGCCGGGGTACAGCAGCCAGACCAGCACCATCCCTGGCCAACAGTGAGGACAAATACTGCTCCAGCACGGAGCTGGGTAGAAAGTGACATCTTCATGGCCTGGGTGGGCCGTTATCCCCTGCAAACCTCTGCAATGCGACGTCCATCCTGGCTGCCCTGTGCTGAGCACGTCCCTCACCGTGTGCCGTGTCCCCACAGCTCCTGTTCCAGGAGACCAACCCCGGTGTGCGCTACCAGTACACCATCCAGCGGCCGGCCGACAGCGAGAACGAGATCGAGCAGACCGAGTTCCTCTGGCGCTTCGGCTCCTGGACCACGTGCACCGCCACCTGCGGCACCGGTGAGTCCCGCATCAGCCACCCTGCGCCACGGGGCACCCAAAGGGCTGGGGGCTCAGCCCGTCAGACAGCACTTCTCCATTAATCCCCGGTCTGTTTCTCACTCTAAACAGTTTAAATGCTGATGGGATTTTGTGGTGCAGGGAGGCAGCAGGGTCTGTGCTGTTCCTGTGCTGCACCAAGGCGTTGGAGAGGCAGCTGGTGGCAGGAGCTGCACGTCCTCCGTGCCACGCTCCCCATCGCAGCCGTATCAGAGCACTCTGCTGGCATTTGGCTTAGAAATTCCTGGGTCTTTGGTTTCAGGAGGTCTTGAGGATGAAAAAAAAAGGCAGCATGTGCTGAGGTCGTAACTCCCTAGCGGCCCCTGCCACGCTCAGCCACAGGAGCCCGTTCTTTATCAGCGCTTTCCTCACTTTGGTGTCCTGTTACCGCGCCGGGTGTCCCTGGGCCATCAGGCTGATCGAGACAAAAAGCTTTAGAGGAATCAGAGAGTGTCAGATGGCCGGTCTGCAGCCTGGCCGGGCTGGAGGGGAGATTATTTCAGGAGCTTGGTGGGGGCAGAACATGGTGGTCCTGTTCAGGCACCGTGTCCTGTCTTTCCCTCCTCTTCACTGTGTCCCGAGCGCCCTGGGCTGCAAGGGATGGGAAGCTTTCGAGGGATGTGTGTGTGAGCATGTGTGGCCGTTCAGTCTCACAGCACTCCGCAGAGCTGACAGCAGTGAGTGCTTTCACTTTACTCCATAAACAGACGTCAGAAGGATCAGGTCTCTCTCTGTTTCTCTCTCTCTCGGCTTTTTGGCTTTCTCCCCAGCAGCAGAGCCGGGCTGAGCATGGCGCTGGGCTGCTCTCAGGGTACCCACGGGCAGGGAACAGATCCTGTACATGGCACGGGGTGAGGCTGGGGGCAGAGGGCTGCCTTGAGAGCAGCCATGGCTCTGGGTAAAAGTTAAAGGGAGAAAACAAAGATCCCTTTGTGTTAAAGCAAAGGGACTTCACTGACACTGGTCCTTTCTAGGCAGCACAGAAGGCCAGGAGATGTTTCCTGCCTGCTCCTGGTAGATGTGGGTTGATTCCTGCTGCGAAGCAGGAGGGATGTGGTGCTGCATGAGCTTGCGGAGCTTTTTACCTATTGTTGCTGTAAGAGCTCTTTGCTGTGGATTTGCGTGGGCGCCCACGAGATGCTGCACTGCAGCACGTGCAGTCAAACAGGACGGGAACCGAGCTCTCTTGCTTTTATTTAAAACCAACTTTCCATCGCGTGGTTGGCTTGACAGCTTCCAGAACAGAAGGGAAAGGTAGGAGCACATCAGGCACAAGCTGGCCAGTGAGGTTGCTCACCCCACAGTTGTTCCCGGGGCTGAGATACTTGGGATTTGGGAGAGCTTGGCACAGGGGCCCCATTTCTGCCAGCTTCGTGCTCAGAAACCTCCAAGCTCCAGGGCCACAGTGCCCGGCAGCTCTCCCCAGCAGAGCTCAGCAGCTCCGGGCCCGTCTGCGCTCAGCTGGTCGGCGTTATTTACAGCCCTCCCGAGTCACGGGTCAAGTATGTGTGGCAAAAAGCAGGACAAAAGCCGACAGCGAGGCAGCGTGTTGGAAGTGAGGTCATCCTGAAAAATGTCACCCGTGAGTGCTGCAGGACGGGGGCAGGAGGCTTCGGGGTGATTTATCCCCGAGCTGCAGCAGGGCAGGAGGCTGCCAGAAGGAGTTGTGCTGCTGCCAGGTCCATTCTCCTTGGAAAGCCCCCCGAGTGCCTGGGTGTGAGCTTGCACACCCAGGCACGTGCACACATGCCCAGTGGCCGTCGTTTTCCAGCACAGTTCCATTCCCTGGCTCTAACCATAGAGGGATCATGTCACAGTTCTGGTGTCCAGCTCTTCTTTTTCCATCTGGGCATGAAGGGAGCGTTGGTGCCATTGGCAGCATGCGAGGGGCACGTGCAGGGGCAGAGGTGGGCTCTCAGCTTTCAGTTTCAGTTCCAGTGAAGGTTTCATTTTCCTTCTTCTGGTTTTGGTATTCTGGTTTCGGTGTGTAGAGCCAAGCCTTGTCTGTGTCCCCAGGGGTGCAGAGGCAGATCGTGCACTGCGTGGAAAAGCTGGCCGGCATTGTGGAGGAGCGATACTGCGACGCGCTGACCCGGCCCGACGACCAGCAAAGGACGTGCAACGAGGAGCCCTGCCCCGCCAGGTCTGCTCTTTGCTCCTTTGCTCCTTCTCAGCACAATTTCAATGCCCAAAGCACCCCAGCAGAGGCAGCAGGGGCCTGGGGATGGCACGGGGCAGGTGCTGGCTGCAGCACACACATTTACACCGCTCATCTTCCCCCAGGTGGTGGGTCGGAGAGTGGCAAAAGTGCTCGGCCACGTGCGGGACGTCGGGGCTGATGAAGAGGACGGTGCTGTGCATCCAGAGCGTGGGGCTGGACGAGCAGAGGGCCTTGCAGCAAGCCGACTGCCAGCACCTCTCCAAGCCAGAATCCACCGCTCCCTGCCAGCGGGATGTGCCCTGTCCCTCGCAGTGGGCCGTGGGGAACTGGTCAGAGGTGAGACAAGGAGCTGGGGTGGTCGCGGTTCCCTGCAAAGGTGGCCAGAGCACGGACGAGGTGCCACCAGGATGTCCTCAGCCTGCAGCAGGCAAGAGCTCTCCTGGTAGTGAAGTGCATCTGGGGCTTGCATTGCAGCACCAGAGCACACAGAAAGGAATTTCATGGCACAGAGAGGTCTCAGGTAAGGAACGAGCAGCGGTGTTTTTCCCATTTTCTCTTCTCTTTCTCTGAGTTTTGCTGCTTTCTCAATCAGGCAAGGCCATGCTGCGTGCTCGATGCAGAGGGGGCAGAAACAGGACGTGTTAAAGCCTTCAATGTGTTTTGCAGCCCCACAAGTCTTTCCCCTTTGTTCTGGCAGAAACCTTACAACTATTTCCTGCTTGCAGAGGCAAGGTGCTGCGGGCCAGCCAGGGGCTAGCTGTGCTGTGCACGTGCGTGGCAGGCGGGTGGGCGTCCTGCTCTGCTGCCCGCACGAGCTGGCACGGGGCTGCGCTGCCTTGCTGCTGCTGCCAGGAGTGGGGCTCGTCCGCAGGGAGATCTTCAGCAAAGTACTTAAGGGAGAGAGAGAGAGAGATGTATAAAATGCCACGTTCGGTGGAGACCCTGCGCAGCCTTTTTTATTTTTGCATTTTTGTGGTTGAGGTTTTTAACCAGAGAGCCGTAACTCCTCGTTTGAGCAGTGGTTTCAGAAAGTGTGCAGCGTGAAGGAAAGTACCAGGAGACAAATCAGAGCCTGGGAGCAGAGCTCGTTGCTAAGAAACAGAGAATAAAAATGCGAACAGAAAATTTGAAGGCTAAATGAGAGCTATTTAGAAATATTTTTCTAGAGGCCCACAGAAGCCACAATTGCACGGTTGAGAAAGAAAGCTGCAATAGTTTAAAGGAAAAGCCCCGAATCCCCAGTTGCCCCGGGGTCTGTCCCAGTGCTGCTCCTCTTTGGCTTTGCCATCTCCACTGTCTGTGAAACCATGAAAAAAGCACTTGAGATTTTAAGATGTCTGTGACTTTTCTGTTCTTCCTTCACTTAAAGCTGAGACTCCTCTTTCTTCTCCATTGCCACCACCACCGATAAGTGGAGAAAATTGAGGGGCTGGGAAGCTTTCCAGCAGCGTGGTCCATCTACCCAGTGCCAAGTCAGAGCAGGCTCCTTTGCTTTTTGTGCTTGCAGAGCCTCGGGCAGGGCAGCACGTGTGTCCCGTGGGGAGCCCACTGGAGCTGAGGGGGGATTTGCAAGTTTGCTGAGCTGATGTGTTTAAGCACATCGGTGGGTCCGGGAGGCGGTGCCTTCAGAAAGACCCCTCAGCAAGGCACACCCAGCTTCACGGGCTCCCTGCAGAAGCTGTGCTGCTCTCAGACGTGCTGCTAGCACACGAGGCTCTGCCTGCGGAGCATCTGTCTCCTGCTCTCAGAGGCACGTCCCGCTGTGCAGCTTGGCGCTGCGATGCCTCCTGCAGCGATGCCTCCTGCGTGCGTGGTGCTGAACACCCTGCAAGCTCTGCTCCTTCCTCCTGTGAAGCTGCTAATGGCAGTGGCTCCTTATCTGTGCCTTGGGGGCTCTCCTGATAACCCAGGCTTGGCAAATAACCCCCCTCCTCCTCCTGGGAGAGCTGTGATCCCTGGAGCTTATCTCCCAGATGGAGCCGGAGCCATTTGCTAAGAAATTTTGGCTGCGTGGTGGAAGCTGAGCTCTGAGCTTCCCCCTGATCCGGCAGCACCGTCCTGGTGGGGCGAGGCAGCTTGCTGGCACCTCGCCTGCAGGGGCAGATGAACGGAGATGCTGGATTTTGGGGACACTGTGCGGTGGGTGGGAACGGCCAGCCCTGGTGTTCTGAACCCTGCCTTGTGCCAGGCACGTCCCTGGGCTGCAGGTCCCATCCAGGCACTGGAGCCTTGCAAGGTCTGAGCAAAACCAAGAAAGGCTGAAAGTTCACGAGTCTGTGTTATCTGAGGACCACATCTCCAGCCCATCTCCATTTTCATCCAAAGAATGGCGATTTTTGCAGAAATCCCCTCTGCTGGGTTTGTCTGACGTGGTGGTTGTTTATTCTTGCTGGCTGGGATGTGTGAGCGTGTTGCTGTGCGTGACCAATGCTCTGTGCATCTGCCACAGCAACCCGCAGCAGCCCGTGGCTTCTCCAACCCACGTGTGGTGTTCGTAGCTCCAGGGTTTACTTATCGTGCAAAAAACATTGCCGTCCCTCGCTGCAGCTTGTGGGTTTCTTCTCTACTGGGCGACCTCAAAGAGACCATTGTGGTGGAGGAGAGGGCGTCTTCCACAAAGCCACTCATTGATCCTCGCCTTTTTCCTTCGCTCGCTAGGACAACACCCCTGTTATGATCTCCTTTAAAACATTCCCTTCCAGAAGAAGAGATGGAATTGATGGGGATGGGCCACTTAGAGCAGACCTATTAGCTCAGCTTATCCAAAGCCCTTCGCGGTGCTCGTCTCCTGGGAAAATCACTTCTGGCTGTAGTGCAGGACAGGGACCCCCCTGAGCAAAATGCCCTGCGATGCTCTCCAAAATGGGGAGACAGCCCCAGAGCCCAGCAGGCACCCCGACTGCCCAGCACCACGATGGGACCACCAGGGACCCGGGTGGGTGCTGGCAGAGGCAGAGCCACGGGCAGCCCAAACCAACGCTTCCCCTGGCCCCCTGCATCTCCCGTGCTCTGAAATGTTCGTTTCTCTTCCTTCCCCAGTGCTCGGCAACGTGTGGCAATGGGACACAAAGACGCCCTGTGTACTGCAGCAATAATACCCAGGCGACTTGTGACCCCGAACAAAGACCCAGCTCGGAAACTATTTGCTCCCTGCCACAGTGCCAGATGAAATTAGACGACGCCAACACCGACTGGTCCGGCAGCGGCTCTTCCAGCAGAGAAATGTTTAATGAGATAGATTACATCGGCAATAACCACATCACGGAATTTAACCCCTTAATCCCAAACATCCCAGAGTCCAACGACGTCAATATCATAACCGAGGAGGACTTCTCATCCAGAAAAGGAAACGTCTTTGTTGATGACTTTTACTACGATTATAACTTCATCAACTTCCATGAGGATCTGTCCTATTACCCCTTCACCGAGAAAGAAACCAAAAGTGAGGGCCCTAAGCCCGAGCTGAGCAGCAACGATGTGGAGGAGCCCCCTGAGCTGCCCGCAGATGTCCTGCACACCGTGGAGCCAGGAGAAGGAGCAAATGGGGACGATCTGGTGAAACAAAGAGAAGGAAATGTTTCTGCTCCCGTGCACAGCGAAGGGGAGGCAGAGTCAGGGGGTTTTGTCATCCACGACCTCCTTGGCATGGCCCCAGAGCACAAGGGCACCAGCACAACCGCTCCCAGCACGGCGGCTCCTGCTCCCACAGGTGATGAGGGGGGCGAAGTGCTCGTGCCCCGCTCCGAGGAGCTGCTGCCCACCCAGCCCGCAGCGAGTCGGGGCTCTCCCAGCAGCCTGGGCAACCTGCTCCCCGATCAGCCCGCAGGCACCGTGCTGGCAGGCTCTGTTCCCGTGTGGGATGGGGATGCTGCCGCCCGCAGCATCGCTCCCTGGGCTCCGGCTGCTCCCTCCACGCCGCTGCCTGGTGACAGGGGCAGTGCTGGTGCAGACAGCGCGTCCCACAGCCTGGGAGAGCCTGAGAGCACGGCGCCTCCTGATAACACTGCCAGCCCCGGGAAGGGCCGGGAAAACTCTCGGGAAATGGGGTTTGTCATCACCAGTGATGGTAACGGTGCTGCCTCCAAGGCCGAAGAGCAGGAGGAATTGGCAGAAATGCCAGCAGCAGAGGGGACTGTGCGCACACACACAACACAGGAGCAGCCACACGTGGCAGAGGGGACGGGTCCGACCTCCCCCACCACCCACAGACCACAGCAGGAGGTGGGCAGGAGCGCTGAAAGTGCTGGTCCCATTGCAAGCCCTCATCCTGCAGGTGCTACGGAGAGCCCCCCGTGGGAGGCAGGGCAGCAGGCGGGGTACAACACCCCCCTGTCCCTCACCTCGGCCCCCTTTGTGGCCACAACAGCCCTGCCAGCACCCGTGTCCGTGTCCCCCACCACTCCTGGGCTGCCCACCCAGCTCACCGCCAGCGGCCTCCCCCAGAGAGCTGCCCTGGCGCCAGCCCCCCCTGAGCCCCCAGCTCCGGGGTGGACCGAGGGGAGCCTGGGGGAGACGTGGGTGCTGCAGCACCCGGAGCCAGCCCCCCACACACCCCCCCAGACCTCCAGCGTGGCCCAGATGGGCAGCACGGCTCCGGGGCAGCGCTTCCCATCAGCAGCCCCGAGGACATTTGCTTACGGAGATGGAGATGGAGATGGAGATGGAGATGGAGATGGGGAGCAGGAGGGATCCCAGCCCACTCCCACACCCCCAGGGCTCTGGGGACAGGACGAGGCTTTGCTGCTGCCATCCACTGCTGAAACAGCCGCTGTGACACCCAGCTGGGAGGTCGGCAACTGGAGCGAGGTAGGGTTTGTGTCCCATTATTGGTTCCCATTATTGTGTCCTATTATTGTGTCCCTTTAGAGGTGTAACGGGGCTGGTTTGGAGGTAGCAGACCTGCCCCTTCCCAGGACCACTCTCTGGGGCACTGCTCTCTGCACGCAGCTAACGCAGGCATTTTTGCATTTGGGTCAAATGCTGACAGCACCGAGTGCCATGGGGTGAAGCCGGTGTGAGTCGGGTGCCTGTGGCCCTCGCTGCAGCCAAAACTCTGCCGGGCACCGGCCGTGGCAGCTCCTTGCCCTCTGCAGAGGCACTGCCAGCTCAGGAGGAGCCGAGAGCACTGAGCCCCTGCTGTGGTTGGGCACATGGTGAGAGCAGAGTCTGGCCCAGGAGCAAACATCTGTCATTTTATTGGCAAGAGTGGTTTAAAATACGCCCCAAAATGACAGAAATGTCAAGGCTAAGGTGCATTAAGGCTGCAAATTACCGCAGGGAAGCGTAGTGAATGGGGGATTATCTGTAATTATCAGCTCTCACTTTACTGCCGAGCTGTCCCGTGGCTGCTCTTTGCGTTGCGCTTGCAGTGACAGACAAATGGCTTCTGCAATCCCTGGTAATGGGCTTTTATCAGAAAGCACAGCAATAAGAAGCCTTCTGTGCCGCAAACCACTGGAGACCGAGCACCGGGGAGCTCTTTTTGGGAGGTTGCACAAAGGAGCCAGTAAGTGGGAGGACAATAGTTGGTGTCAGTGAAATAGAGTCACACATGGGGGCTTTGTGAGGGGGCACCGAGCATCCCCGGGTGCTCCCCACGGAGCCGGTGGGATGTCGGCAGCGTTGGAGGGAGCCCTGCTCTCGGTTTCAGCACCGGGGCAGTGCCTGGCACGGGGTTACACTGAGCGAGTCTGTTTGGAAAGCCCTGCGCAGGCTTTTGAGACGAAAACACTGCTGCAAAGTAATTCAGAGCAGTCTCCAAAGTGAGGGGTGAATCCCTGCCTCACCACGGCCCGGTCCCGTTCCTCCAGCACCCTCCTGCTCCCCGGGAGGGGGCCGTGAGCTGAGCCCCCTGGGTGCTTTAGGTGCTGCTTTTTCTTTGCAGTGCTCGGCCACCTGCGGCGTGGGCGCGATCTGGCGCAGCGTGCGCTGCAGCACGGGCACGGAGCGGCACTGCGCTGCTGCCAGCAAGCCCGTCCCCGCCAGGAGGTGCTCCCTGAGGCCGTGCTCGTCCTGGCGCGTGGGGAACTGGAGTAAGGTAAGCAGGCGAGCTTGCCCTGCCTCTCCTTCCACACCATTTCCCTTCCTAACGCACAGGGAAAGGGCAGCAGCAGGTGCCTGCCGTGCGGGTGGTTATTCGCTGTCCGTGCGTGCTCCTGCCCCGTGGATTGCAAAAGCAGAGGTCAGATCTTGCACTTGGCACAGAGTTTAAATGGCTTTATCCCACAGTAATGGGGTGGTTTAAAAGCCAGAACTGTGGAAGCTCATTGAAGGAAGGTTTGAAAGTCTCTGAAAAGAGCTGTTGAGAAGCCACATGTTTGTGGTTAGGTTGGAGGAACCTGCTGGGTTAAACAGCAGCGAACAGCCCGAGTTATTCTGCGTGGCCTCGGTCTCTGAGACACGTGGATGGGAGATCAGCAGCTGCCTGATGCAAAAAGGCTTTGTTTTGTTGCAGTTGGGAGCTCCACAGGGTTTTAGGTGTAAAGATTTTGAGCATTATCCCAAGCCAACCCAAGGCAGAGCACGTCAGTGCGTTATTTTATGCCATGGGTCCCATCCCAGAGGGACTGCCCCGCACCAGCCCCTGGCTGCAGCGTGACGTGCCTCTCCTTTGCCCAGTGCTCCAGGAACTGCGGTGGAGGGGTGAAGGTTCGGGACGTGCACTGCATCGACACCAGGGACCAGAGGCTCCTGCGGCCCTTCCACTGCCAGGCTGTCCTCTACAAACCCCCGGCGCAGATGCCCTGCCAGAGCACGCCGTGCCTGGACTGGTACACGTCCTCCTGGAGAGAGGTAGGTGCTGCTGGCCGGGGCTGAGCTGTGCCCACACACCTGGAAGCAGGGTTTGTGTTTGCTTATGCGTTGGTAGGGGCATTTTTCATTCTTTTTTTCCTTAAGAGTCCAATGCACGGAGCGTGTCTGCTGTTCCACTGTGCTGTTGGCTTCCCCTTTTGACGAGTTTTGTCCCTGCAGTGCTCAGAGCCCTGCGGCGGAGGGGAGCAGGAGCGCCTGGTGACGTGCCCGGAGCTGAACCGCTGCGATGAGGCCGTACGGCCCAACAACACCCGGCCCTGCAACACCCACCCCTGCACCGGCTGGGTGGTGGGCTCCTGGGGGCAGGTGAGCAGATGGGAGAAGCGAGGCAGCTCTCGCATGAGCTCTGTGCTGGATCAGCATCATCCTCATCGCGCTGGTGCGGCTCCTCCACGGAGATCTGGGCTGGGAGGTGCCGTGTGCCCCTCCCATGGTTTCTTTACAAAAAGTAATAGATAAAAATGTTCCTGGTGCTGTCACTGCCATGGCTACTGAAATTAATAAGCTTGGTCAGTGCCATCTGCCCCACGCCCAAGTTGGCTGGGCACCCTCGTCTGCAGCACGTGGAGGAATGGGAACAACTCTTGCACAAAGGCAAGGAGCAGGGGAAAAAAAAACAACAGCCTTCCAAACCAAAGCGGGGAGTGGTGCAATAAAAGCATAAAAACTCCCCAGGGCCTGGTGCTGCCGGCCCAGCTGACAGCTCTGCCTGCTCCTGCAGTGCTCGGCGCCCTGCGGCGGGGGCATCCAGCGGCGCCAGGTGAAGTGCATCAACACGCAGACGGGGCAGGTGGAGGAGGACAGCAGCCTCTGCGACCACGAGCCCTGGCCCGAGAGCACGCAGAAGTGCAACCCGCAGGACTGCGAAGGCACCGAGGCGGGTGAGTGAGTAACGCCCCGTGGGCTGTTCTGCTCCTGGTGACTAAATATTCTCTCTTTGATGCGATCGTGCTCCCCAAGAGCTTGTGTGAGCTGTCTGGTGTCACCCCTTTCCAGGCAGCCGGTGCCACGCTGCCACTCAGGCAGTTGGCAACAGATATCCCCGCTTGGTTTCGAGGGGATGGGTTTAAACGTGTCTGGGTCGTGCTGCAGTGCCTGGATGGTCAGGGCTGAGGTTGGGGTCGATGTTTTACTTTGCATAAGACTGACAGAAGTCATAGTGGAGAAAGACGAGAGGTACAGGAGGTTATGCGCTGTGGTTGGGCGTGAAAACTTCTAGCTTCACGCAAGGGTGCTGCGTTTTCAGTGCAAGCACAGAGTGCTCCCGAGCACCCATGCAGGTGTGACCGTACACGCAATGCTTTGCCCTCCATCATCATCCTCTGTGATGCTTGGAGACGCTCTCCCTCTGTCCAGCACCGTGGATGTGTTTTCTAGCCAGGCTCAGAGTCATTCTTTATTTTTCTCCTCCCCGTCTTTCACTTGTCAGCCCCCCGGGCTGTGCAGTTGTGTGGCTGGGGACTGGGTACAGGACCGGAGCGCTGGGCAGCAAACCAGGAGCAGCACCGATCTCCAGGGCTGGCGCGTGCCGGTGGCACTGCTGGTGCTGCTGAGCAGGAGGAAAAATCAGAGCAGGGGTCAGCCTGCCGAAAATCAGCAAAATCAGCGTGTCTGTGAGAGGAGGAGCTGGGTGGGGTCACTCGGGGGAGGCCGAAACATGGAAAGCAGGGCAGGGAGGGGGACCTGGCTGTGAACCGTGCGGGTCGGCAGCAGCTGGAGGGCAGGGGATTTATGGGCTCGGGGCAGCAGCACCACCCAGCCAAGGGACCCCCAGCACCCACCAACGGGGCTGCTGTGGAGGGACTGGGGGCAGCAGCGATGTGTTCCTCGGAAAGAGGGAGCCAGAACTGAAGACCCAGAGGTGAAGCTTTCCGACCATTGTAAAACTTCTGAGATGAGCACGGGCACTGGGTTGGCTTCCTCACCTTCCCATTCAGTCAGAGAAACGTGCCCATGGCAGCGGGCAGCTCCCTGCTAGCCAGAAACGTGCACGCCACAAGGGTTGAGAGCTCTTCAGAGGAAAAGCAATATCATGGGGGATTAGATGCCGCTGATATTGGCACGCTAATCATTAATCAGCCTTATCTTCTCAGTGTGTTCGCAGAACAAAGCTTTCTGTCTGCCCAGCAGGGAACATTTCACCCACGGGAGCTGCCGTAAGGCAGAGCCAGGGGGGCTGGAGCTGGGCTCGCAGGGGGGACACCCCACAGCCCCGTCCCTTACCCGTGCCACCTTGTGTGGGTGCTGCAGGCAGCCCTGCTCCCCCCACAGCTTCCCTGGTTCAGCACAGAGGTGGTGGCCAGTCAGGGTCTGCAGGAGGTGCCCACGGCGCCGGCTGCTTTTGTCAGGGGAACGTTCCCACCAGCACGGGCTGGCGGCGAGAGCCACGTGGATGCTCGGCACGGCCAAGGTTGTACCAGAATAACCGTGGGGATGTGTAGGAAGCACACAAATAAATGTTACGATTCTGGATACGAAGTGACATAAATGCTCTGGCCGCGGCCCAGGGCAGGAAACGCCTCTTGGAAATACAAACATTTCCTGCCAAACTCCGAGGAGGAACAAAACTTTCACATGGCAGGAAATCACAGATGTGTAAATCCACAGGCAGAGGCTCCCAGAAAAGGCATGAACATAAACTCGAGCCCTTTCCTGTGTTTTAAAGGATCTTTATTGCACAAGATTAATGAAGGCTGTGGGGATTCAGTGTTTACGTTAGGAGGACAAGGAGCCTCCATCTCCCGTAACACGAAGTGCGCTGGTACCAGCAGGCTCGTGTTGGGTTTGGGGAGCAAAAATGTGAGTAACCTCAGCAGAGTTCGAATGTTAAAACATAATCAGACAGATTTTTAAAGGAGATGGAACAGAGCAAACATAAACAAACATCTCACCGGCAATTGGCCCTCTCCAATTAAAGGAGGTTGGAATTAATTAAAAGCAGAATCCTGTTCTGTCGCTAGGTTATAAATTAATTGATGATTACACAGAAGTTATTTTTAAGTGTGCCTGTAGTTTTACGGCTGAATCCAGCTGTGAGTGGGGAAGATAAGGTCGGCTGTGTCCTCAGATGGCTCCCAGGCAGCACCCGAGCCCACCAGGCACTCGGATGTGTCCGAGTTGGGGCCGGGCACAAGGTGGCACGGACCCGGAGGAGGACCCAAAGCCCGTGGCTGGTCACCCCATGCCCAGGAGAAGCTCAGAGCAAGGCCACCCATGGAGGAGCCACCGGTGGGTGTCTGGGGATGGACACTGCCCTGCTCAGCCGTCCCCAGGCGAAGCTCCTGCCCCCAGTGCAGGTCCCAGGGGCTGCGCAGGGTCTCCCGGTGCTGTGCCAGGAAAGCCCTGCTGCGAGGGACGCCTCTGCTCTTGGCAGCCCTTCCGAGGTGATAAGAGTGGGAGCGGATCTGCTGCACTGCGGACACGCTGCCAGAGAGATAAGAGCAGCGTTCGTCTCAGGAAGGCTTCTTGTGCTGATCCCAGCCGTGCCTGCGCCTGGAGCCCAAGCGGGGCTTTGACGCCCACATCAGCCACTCCTGTTCCCAGATCATTCCTAATTCCTAGAGAAACCCTTTGGTTTTTTTCTCCCCAGTTTTCTGGGATGCGTTAGCAGACGGTCGTTGCCCATCAGGATCTCAGCCTTCAGATCCCGGAGAGGGAAAGGAATTAAAGAGCACGGCTGGCCCCAGAACAAGTATGCACAAGCGGGCCCTAGATGTGGTTTCTCTAGGAATTAGGCAGATGTTCCCTGCCAGCGGGAAGGGGGGGCTCAGCCTCGTGTCCTGGGAGCAGCGCCAAGGTCGGCTGGTTTGGGACAGCCTGGGCAAGGGGCAGACCCCGGGCTCCTCTCCTCCTCCCACCCCTGCTTTCGGCTCCCAGCTGTGTTTCCAGCCACCTCGAGATTAATTGGCAATTAGACATTGTATTCCTTCTTGCTTTCGGTGGGGGAATGAAATTATTCGTGGCTCTGCATACAGCTAAGTTTGTCCACAAGGGATCCCCGCTAGAAATAATTGCAGCGAATTCCAGTTTGCTCTCAGCTGAGCATGGACGCCTGCATCCTCGTGGCGAGACAGGGAGGCACTGCTGGCCGAGTCATTAAGTGCCCTTTACCTACTGCTAATTAACAGCAGCCGTCAATAGAGAGCGGGAGCTTGGGAAAGGATTCTTCTGGCTTTTAGGAAACGTAGCAGCAGTGGTTGTTGCACATTTTAGCCTTACCTACAACCCTGCCTTCCACGGCAGGGGCCGTGCAGCCCCAGCCCAGTGCAGCTCCCACTGAAACCTGCACACCGCAAGAGAAAGCACAGTAATTGTCCTACAGATGGAACAGGAAAGGGACGATTCCTCTCCCAGCTGAGAGCAGCGGGGTCTGGCTTAGTGCAATGCCTGCACGCTTGATGTGAATGACCTTGGGTTGGGTAACGGCAGGGAAGATGCTTCTCCCCCCTCCTTGGCAAGCTGTGAGTACATTTAGGTTTCTGAAAGTGTGAATTGCAATGGGCTTCAGGGTCCTGTGCGAACAGTTAGGGTGCAAAAATCAGCTCACCTCCCGCGCCGGGTGCTGGGTGCACGGCACAGGGCACCCTGTGTGGGCACGGGGCAGCTGGCTCAGGCTGCAAGTGATAAAAGCAAGGAAAGCAAGGACAAAACTGATGAAGGAGAGCTTTCCCCACGGCGCAAAGGGTCAGCACCCTCAGCTGCGCATTAATGCTCGCCCCAGGCTCTGGATAGCAGAGGGCTCAGGGCTGCTGCCCAGCACCATTACCCTGCCCGATGTTGTACACAAACAGATGTGAAGGAATCAGGAGCCCATCGATGCGGAACGGCTGCGTGCTGCTGCCTCCGTGCCCGTTGCAGGGTGCCCGCGGGCGCTGCGGGATGCTCTGGGCACGGCGCGTTGGAAGTGGTTTCCAATTCTGGGGAGGAAGCTCGGGGTCATGTTCAGAGGCTTCTTTCAGCAGAGTTGGCTTTTTCTACTCCTCCCTTTATTCATAAGAATGAAGTGGAAGACAGCACGGTTGTTTTTCTTGAGTGCAGGGAAAATCCTCCAGTTCTGGCTCGGCATCAGCTCTTAGGAAATGAGAATTTCTCTGCTGGATCCAGACTCCAACAAAGGGCTGATCCCTGCTCGCCTCCTGAGAGCGCTGCCGTTGCCCCCTTCTGTGTGCGATCCCCCGGGCAGGGGGGGGTCACCCTTCCTCAGTGATGCGTGGAGCCACACTGAGCAGCAGAGCCTGAAAAATTGGTGTTTTCTGCTTTTCCCTCCGGTTTTCCAAGCTTTCAAAGTTTTACAGGCTTTGGCGTGCGCAGCACGAGCTGGACGGAGTGCTGGGTGCTCGGTGAGAGCAGCACAGCTTTGCTTTGCAGTGCCTGGGGGAGCTGAGGCCGGGAGCATTGTGCAGCACCAGGGATGCTCACATTGCATGTGATGCACAAAGAAATGCCTCGCTGGCCTGGCATCGGGGCTGTTCCTGGTGCTGCAGGAGCACGGTGCTGCCAGCGGGGCTCTGAGGGCAGGGACTGCGCCGTGCCCGGGGAAATGAGCTGGAAATGAGCTGCGGGGGACACAAACGGCATCCGAGCACACATCGCTCCCGTGCTCACCAGTGGCTGCGTCTCCAATGCTGGCTACAACAAAGCTGCTAAATGCAGTGCCTCCTCCAGCGTTCGATCCCAGTGGAGGGCACCGCAGGCCCAGCAGCAGAGCCAGGGCCAACACTGGTTAAACTGGGAGCTGGCTCCGAGAGCGCCCGGCAGGCCAGAGGTCAGCGGCTCAGCGCGCTCGTCCTGCTGGCTCAGCGCTCAGCCCAACCTCTCCTTGTTTTTACAGAACCTGTACCAGGAAGTTTATTTTTCCCCAGCATGAAAGTAAATGCTTAGGTCTGTAAGGCAGAAGCTTAAATGAAATTTAAAACGACTTCCACACCGGCTTAAAAAAAACAACCGCAGAAGTGTGGGTTTTCAGTTTCTAATGTGCTGACTTAGCCTGGATTTGGGAAGCCCTGCTTCAAGCCATTTCTGCAGAGGGAAATTTGGCACCATCTCGAAGATTGGAGCGTGCGCTCAGATGAAGTGTTAGGATTATAAAAAAAAAATTGTTAATAGAAAAAATAACAATAAAAGGATTAGATGAAAATTGGGTCAAACCTATGGGGACCTTCTGTGAAGAGCTGAAAAATGAAGTGCTTATTGCAGCTTCCCCTGCCCAAGCCCAAGTTCCAGGGAGGAGCCGCGGGCGCAGCCAAGATTTTCCGCGCTGGGTCTGACCCCGCGTGCATCCACCCCACGGCTCTGCTCTGGGCCAGGGTCTGGCCGCCCTGGGAAGCCCCCGGCACTCAGCAGCTCCCGGTGACTTCATTTCATAAAAATGCTTTTGAGAAGTGTTGCCTGGCCCTGGGCTCAGTGAAGGAGTGGTGGCCACCTCCGGCACAGGGGTGGGCGGCTCTGCCCTCCCTCCCAGCCCGTCCCGGCTTCCATTCCGCAGCAGGGGCGCCTTGGATGTTAGTGCAGCGTGCGAAGGGAGCTCTCGGTGGTGGGGCAGACGGGCTTCAGCCTGTGTTCAGGGCCTGGCGATGCAGCTGTGGGAATTTCCATCCCAGCGCCAGGGCGCTGACCCGTTGGAAAGGGATCAGACGAGAGCGGAGACCGTCCGCTGCAGCCCGGGGAGGTTGCCCTGCAGCGAGGCTCCAGCAGCAAAACCTCCCCAGCTCCTGCACGGGAGGGCAGGAGGCAGCTTGGGCGCGATCCATGAGTGACTTTCTAGGAAGCTTTTTCTGGGATAAGCACGGGCTTTTTGCATGGGAGCAGCACCAAGCAGCGCAAGGTGTGCGGCTGCCTGCTGAATATCTCAGTGTGCTCTGCGGGGCCATCCCAGCACAGCTCCCGCGGCAGTGCTGAGCCTCCAAAATGTTGCTGGTGTTCCCAGCACCCCAGGTGGTGGTGCTGAGCTCTTCTCAGCCCCTGATTTACGCACAGTGTGGGGCTGGCTCTGGTGCTCGCTCCCGGTCGGCTGTGGCCACTGCAGCATCCGTGTGAGGTGATTTCTTCAGGGCACAGAGACACCAGGGCTTTGCAGAAATAGCTGTTGTTAGCGAGGAAGAGAGGAAATACCTCGACCGAAATAGAAAATTAATTTTAGAACAGGATAGTGACCTCCGTGCTGGCGGGGTGGGGGCGCTGAGGGACTGCAATTGAACTCCAAAGAGGGAGGAAAAGTCTCTGTGCTGCATCTGCCGCTCCCTCGAGCTCACCACTGAGGACCAGATTGTCCCTCATGGGAACGGGGGCATCAGCCTTTCCCTAAACAAAGCCCTTTGTTCACCGAAAGGAGACGGGGTGGGGCAGTGCTCGGCGAGAGCTCCCCGGTTCCCTCCCCACCGCTGGTGTTTCCCCAGCAAAAAGTGCCCTGGGAAGGGGAAAAGCCTTTTGTGGAGCCGTCCGGTGGGGGCTGTTTGCTGGGGGGGGGGCACAGGGCTGCCAGCTGCAGGAGCAGCCTTTGCCCTTTTCCACAGAGAAGCCGTCGTGTTAGTTAATCACTTGTACAGGAGGTGAATTGGACAGAACTGACGTAACTTAAATGTTTTGCACAGCTGTGTGGGACCCGGTGATGCACACGCCTGTTTTTGTGTAAACTGAAAACGGAGGAAATGAAGAATCCAAGCACAGCACCGAGGCGAGCCTGCAAACGAGGCGTGCGTGGCGCGGGGGCTGTGCCGTGCTGCAGCCCCTTCGAGCCCGGCCAGGCTCTGGTGGAGCGAGCAGCCGGGCAGAGCGGGGCACGGGGAGCAGGGACCGATTCCTGCAGCCCCTGCTGCTGGTGGGGCCGAGGCTGCTCCCTCCTCACACATCCCACGGGATGCCGGGCACCAGGGTTTGTACGTGGCGATGAGGGAGGGCGTTCTGTGGGGGGCAAGGTCTCTTCGGGCAGCACCCAAGGGGGTGGATGAAGTGCCTGATAACCGTCCGGGTGCCAGTGGCAGTAACGCTGTCCTTGTCCTCTTGCATCCCCTCCAGGCTTCGTCTGCGAGCGCGACCGCTTGACGTTCGGCTTCTGCCAGACCCTGCGGGTGCTGGGAAGGTGCCACCTCCCGACGGTCCACGTCCAGTGCTGCCAGAGCTGCCGCCAGCACGGGCACCACGCGCCCGGCCGGGACCGCGGGGATGAGCGGGCCTCCAGGAGGTGACAGGACCATCCCCGAGCGCAGAAAGCACCGGGACCAGCGGCGGCTCCGGGAGCAGCCCTGCGGCACGGCAGGGAGCTGGGGAGCAGCCGGGCGTGCTGCTCTGTCGCCACACGGTGCTCTTGCAAAACACAGGGAAGGCTCCATTTGTTGTATTTGTGCTCCACGTAACGGTGCTCAAACCTTCAGTCTGAAAAATTGCGTCTGGCTCGGGCTGGGTGCGCGGGTCCCACGGGGAATGGGCCGGGGCGGGCGCAGCTCTCCCTCGGGGTTGCAGCCAGCGCTGAGCGAGCAAAGAGAAAGCATTTTAGGGAAGGGAAACTTAAAGCAGCAATAATTTGGGGGAGACTTCTCAGAAATGCTTATGGTGCTATCACTTGACATTTTAAGCCTCTTGATGGTGTTGGCAGGCCAGCACGAAACTCCTGACTTTTATCATTATTTTTATATATGTAAGTGAGTATCTGTCATTCCACCACTGCAGCTGACCATGTGGAGTCATTTTTTTTCCCTTAAGGGTCTGGAAGCTGGCAGCCCATTTCTGTAATTTTCATTGACTTGTTTACGCACTGAAGCTAAATAACTGTAATTTAAGAAATGGAGAGAGATCAGAGGCAGAAAGCTTTCGGCTTCAGTTCCCACCAGCAGTCCCAGGCTCACAGCGCACACAAGGGCTCTGCCCTCTTCATCCCGCTGCTGGCTTCTGCTGCAAAGCCATTGCCCACGCTCCTGGGCAGTGTGGAGCAATGGTTAGGGACATCAAGGCATGAATGAAATGAGTCTTGCTCTGGAGCCGGACAGCGTAGGCCCCTGCACGTGCTGATGACAGAGATGGGAAGCGGCTCCGGCCCCAGCTGGGAGCCTCTGCCCGGCAAACCCCACGCGCCTCCCTTGGCTGCGTGGCTCCTCGCAAAGCCCGACTGGCAAAGTGAATTGTACTCACACAACTGGATTTCCGTATGCAGTTATGGCATAGAAGTGTAATGGTTGGTTAAGGTGTTTTTCTGTGCTCTCGCCAAGCTAAAACCCTTCTTTCTGCTTATATAGAGGCACTTCTGTTAAGGTTAGTCGATTCTTTTATCTAGAGTATCTGCTATTGTATGAGCGGCACCTCGGCTCGCGCAGCCCTCGCAGCCGGTGCTCGTGTGCTGATCCTCGGTGTCTTTGCTCTTGGGTTGGTTCCTGGAGGGTGTCGGGAGCATCTCGGTGGCACGTCCTTTCTGTGGTACTCTTCAGGCTATAGAAGATGAAACTGGGGAGACCGCAAACACAGCCCTGCTTGTGCTACACTGAACACGAGCTGCCCTGTGTTGAGCAATGCGGTCACAGAGTCCAGGATGGATTTTTTTCTTCATTTGTACTGTCTGGGACAACGTGCAGCACTGCCGCGTAACAAGGGAAATTCCTGTGTGTAATTTGTATGTAAAACACAAGCCAAGACTTCACTGTTTGTGTTGTACTCCTTTGCAATGTGGTGTCAATTTTTGTGTTTCGAAGCCTGGGTGCATTCCTGTTTTCCTTTGCGTCGGCACCATCCGTCCTCTGCTTCTGTCGGTGCTCCGAGGTTTTGCTGAGGAACAGCCTCCAAATGTGTTGGGTTTTAATGGCTATAGCTCATAAGTGTGTTAAATTAAACAGTTACTGAAGGAAATGGAAGGGTTTCATATTTTCTCTTCCCTTTGGGGAATTTTAAAGGGCTTTTCACTGAAAACTCAGTTAAGTGGAGGCTCTTTAGGTACTGACAACAGCAGGGGTTTGATTACTCTCATCTTAGCTGCAGCAGAATGGAGCAATCAGTTTGCATCTGAAAATCATTTAAGGCAGCCGATTGAAACTGGGATTTGTGTGATTACAATCTGAGCTCTATAGATTTGGGGTAAAGTACTGGCATGCACAAATCTAAAGGCTTCAGCTTTGGATTGCGGTGCTGCTGACTCCAGGATTGCAAATCAACTCATTTCAGTGCCAACTGTAAGGATGAAGCAGCCCGAGTCAAAATGCTGCTGCTCCGTGTGTGACACCACAGCCAGTACACGCAGCTCACATCGAAACGCAGACGTTCATCGCAAGAATTATTTAAATTCTCCCTGATTTATCTGCACTTCCATACATTAGAGGTGAAACACCTCTGAGAGCGGGACCTGCTCTAAACCAGGGGGTGCGCAGGGGGGTGCAGAGCTCATCGCTTCCTCTCGCAGCAAATCCAGACCGAGCCCAGGAGCAGACTGGGATATTTCCTTGCTCTGCTTTGTCAATATTGGTGTTTGGACCTGCTGCTTGTAACCAAGGAGCTAAACAGAAATGCCTTTTTTATTAAAAAAAAAAAATCAGCTTCATTAATGTGTCAATACTAGAAGGTCATTACTTTAGAAATAACCACAGCGGTAGTCTGCACATGAATGCAGAAAAGCGATTATAAATCAGAAGATGTTTGGAATAGAAACTGCTTTTCTCTGCAGTATCTAAGGGCGTGGTTTACCAGGAAAGCAAGTTTATCCTTTTTGCTACGTTAATTAGAGCAGAGTGTGAAAGAGAAAAGCAAGGACACGTCAGGTTCCAGCTTCTGGACATTTTTTTTTAAAAAGAAAACTGAATTTCATTCTGCTGAGCAGATCCTACGTGCAGCAGCAGTTTTGGGGGTCGCTGGCTGCCCGTCCCACCCGGCGCTGCACCAGGCCGGGCACCTGGGGGCTGCAGCTGCAGCGGGCGTCATTTCTTCCCAGAACTCACCCCGGCTCTGCAGTCACTATTCCGTTTTCTCCTTAGCGTGTCTTTCAAGGCTTACTCATTTTCCTGGCGCTGTTCGTGCTCCGGTGTCACCAGGAAAGGTGCGGTCTGCTTGCTCTTCAGAGGCCACGGCCACGGTCCCTGAGCTCGGTGGCCTCGCACGCTGCCCGCCGGGACGGTGCCGCACACCCCAGGCCCTGGGGCATTCCCCTCCCAGCCCTCGCTGGCAATAGCCCGTGCAGAAGAAAAGCCCTAAGCGATGCTTTTCATCACAGATACAGGATATGTGGCTACCGGGATGCATTCAATTTGTCATTATAAGATACTTTTGGTTCATTACTTCAGAAAGACCCCATTGAAGACCAACTGTGCACAACACGTATGCTTCATTTGCCACACAGCAGAGGCGGGTTTTCCCACTAATTGTGAACCTTCGCAGCGCGGGACTCGGAGTCTCTCTGACCTTTGTCCGCTCGGTTTTACTTGGCCTGTTTGAAAAACATTTGGTTTCCCTGCTGAGCTGCCGGGCACGTTGTTCTTGCAGCCAGTTGCCATCCGGATGCGGTGCGCTGGGTCAATTTAACGGGTGCTGTGGGCTGGGTTTTTGGGCAGGAATGCACGTTTAAACAAATCTAGGCGAGCTTAATCACAGCAGCCACTGATAGCGGAGCAAGAGCTGCAGCAATGCACAGTGTTTGTGCCCAGACACCTCGCCCAGTGAGGGGCCGTGCTGCTCCTCAGCCCCCGGCCTCCCCCAGCCCCTGACCTCCGGCCGCCCCAGCGCCCCCGACGTGGGCTCAGGGCAGATGCTCACAAGTAGTTTTTTCCTGTATTTCCCACAAAGGAAATAGAGCAAACAATATGTTTTTTGAAGAGGCTTTCAGTTAAGTTTCCTGACATCTATTGTAAACTTCAGCTGCTAATTAGGGAGCAGGGAAAGATTTGCTCACAGGTTTCACTTGCCGTTTTTCAGCGTAACACGTCATCAACCCGCAGACGGCGGATCTGGCACGAGGGGAAAGCAGCACATCATGCAGCTCCGTTCTTGACAAGCTGTTGATGAAACAAATTTGAGAAATGATTTGACCCTGAAGGCAACGTGCCCCAAAGGGCAGCTTTGAAGTGATTGCTCAGGTGTGCTGTGGGGGCAGGAGCTGGCTGGGCAGCGCGGGGTGTGCTCAGGAGTTAAAGTTCATCCAACGCTCAGCGCCAGCACCGGGGAAACTAAGCCCTTAGCCAGGCCACTTCTCCCACTAATTGTTAAACCTTGCCTGCTGTTTTCATTACGATTACAGAAATATTGACTTAAATGACTTCTCCTCCCAGATTTTGCTACTTCCCATCCAGCCTGCAGCTGCAGCCCCTCTGAAAACCGTCCTGACACCCACGACACCGAATGTCCCTGATGCCGAAGGACTTGGCTTGTCTTTTTTCAGGGCCAGTTGTAAATACAAAACCTGTTTCTCCACAGGCTTTCTGTTTATGTGTATGAAGACTTTTATGTATAAACAGATGATTTCACTGCCGTGCCACCATGCAAACCACCAAGGCCAGGACACGGTCGCAGCTGGCGTTGCCTCGTGTCGAGGAGGTGGCAGCTCCCAGCAGTGCTGGCGTGGGCACAGGGCATGTCCCGAGGTCACTGGGAACCCCCAAAACCTCCACTACCTCTCCTTCCAGCCTCCTTTAACATCCTCCTCTCATCCTCCCTCGTACTGCAGACAGGATTAGATCCACTGTCCCCACATGGCCTCCGGCTCTCTGAAGACAGGAACAATTTAAGAGGAAATGTTGAAAAATGCAAGAACTCTCTTTTTAGGGGACAGTGACCGATATGGGAAAGAACAGGGTGAGGATCTGGCAGCAAGTTTGTGGAGAGGGCTCGTGGCTATAGAAGGCAGCCAGAGCTGGTGCTGCCAAACCCCCGGCAGGTAGGGGCAGGAAAGGAGGGCGGCCGGGCTGAAGCCCTGCCCTGCCCCTGCAGGCTCCACCTGCACTGGCACAGGGATCTGAGCTGCTTGGGAAAAGCTCTTCCCCATGTGACTGAGGGTGGTAGGACAGGGGACAGGAGTGACTTGGGAAGGTGGGTGCTAAGCAGAAGTACCAGACGTTACCAAAGTAATGAGGTTTCTGGAAGGAGTGGCAGGATGGAGTTGGCCAGCACCCTGAGACTCCTCGTGAAGGCAGCTTCACAGGACAACCTCCAAAAGGAAGGCACTGGGGCACAGCCCGGAGCTTGTGTTTTGTTGCTGCTTCTATTTATTTGTCGGGATCTCCTGAAGCCTCTCTGAGAAGAACCAGAGGTTTTTGGCTTCAGATTGGAAATCAGACCTTGTGTTCCCCCTGGTTGCCTCCAGACATTTCCAGAGCTGGAGACAGGAAGGAACTGAGAGCTCATTAATTGGGAAGCAACAGGAATTTTATGGAGCGGGTTCTTTGTCACTTATTAACAATAACACTTAAAACACTTCCGTATCTCAAGAAGCCATGGGATTGCCCTGTCAGAGCACCTGTGTTCTGTAGACTGTCAAATTCCCCCTCCCAAGTGCTTCTGTCCGGAACAGACAAACTCAGATGGAGTATTTTAATCCCCAAAGGGCCAGGGAGGTCACCGGTCCTCCAGCCCAGCACCAGCTGCCCAGACAGCGAGGGATCCCGGCCCGCAGGTGACCGAGCACGCGAGGAGGCCAAGCAGGAGGCAGCGAACCACAGAGCAGGAATAGCTCACAGCCAGCCCCTGGTGGCAGCGCTGTCCCCACATAGTTTGCTTTTATCCAGGAAAATTTTGCATTTTTGGCACCAGCTTTAGGCAGCAGTGCTGATGTGGTCCTGCTGCAGTCACTGTGCTGGAGACTCCTTGGGTGCAAGGGGGCTCATAAACCCATTTGTAATCCATTGGCCACAGATTTTACTCATGGTTGTGATCCCACCAAATAACCCCTTAGAAGTCACTAATGGAGGTTCACAAGTTGATTTTTAAGGACTCGAGGAGTGATTTTAGCCCATACAGGATCAAGTAAAAGTAACTGGGCTTCGTTAGACAGTAACGGGGTGGCTTAAAGATACAATTAATTCTACACTGACATGCCTGATGGCATAATTACAGCCTCAGCTGAACCCCATTAAAGCAAGGTGTGTCTGCTGAACTCCCAACGAGCCAACCCTGCCCCAGGACCTGGGGACACAGCTCAGGGGACAGCCAGCATCCACCCTGCAGGAACCAGCCCAGCCTCCTGGATCACAGCAAGCACATGGCCCCTTCTGCCCCGCAGTCCTGTCCACGCTTCACAGAGCAAATTTCATCATTTACATTTATTTCTGTCCCCTTGGTGCAGGGTTGATGCAGCTACCAGCAAAGCCACGTTTTGGGAAAAGTCGGAAAAGCGAAGGTAGGACAGGAGGAGAAGGATTTGAAGAATTTTGTTGCTTTGCCAGTTTTACCACCAGCAGCAGGAGGTGGGAGGAAAGAAGGGAGAGAGAAATAAGCTGCTTTGGGCCTTGGCCACATGGCTGGCACCAAGGCACTGCATGCTTTGCTCACCCAGAGCAATCAGTTTTGTCATGAAATGAAGGAAAGCTGCTTCACACGTGTTGAGAGAGGGGAGAAAGAGCAGGAGGATCTGCGCAGCCCGGGACAGCATTAGCAGAGCCACTGCTCTCCTCTCTGGGACTCGGCTTCTGACCTGTGTTTGTGCCTTATGGAAAGCTCAGCAAGGCTGGATGTAAATATTTAGAAACATCTATACGCTAAATATAGTTCTCTCTATATATGCTCTGTTGCCATCTGTCTAACAGCTTAAGCATGGCTAAAAAAGTTCTTCTACCCCTTCTGTTCCCAATCCTATGGCCCCACTAGAGTTTCTGAATTCCCTCATCTCCAGCTTGCTTTTTCCTCCCACTCCTGCAGCTCAGCTCCTACATATTGCCCC